ATGTGGGTCCTGGGGATTGCAGGTTGCCGGCCATCTCACAGACCCAGGACAAATATTTGTATAACCCAAGGCTTCCTCTCTGTCTCCACCATTCGTTGTGAAATTATTATATTTAGCAAGTAAAAGGCTCCCCCATTACATTTGAATTCCTAATGGACAGAACAGCCTTAATCAGTTTGGCAACTACACCAAGAAACGATTCTACTAGGTTCAATATGTACATGTATGCATGTCTGTATGTATTACATATATTTTATATAAATATGAAAAAATGAAAATAGTCAGGCTATGGTGGCACACACCTTTAATTCCAGCACTGGGGGGGAGGGGTAGACATCTCTGAGTTGGAGGCTAGCCTGGTCTACAAAGCAAATTCCAGGACAACTAGGGCTACAGAGAAAACCTATCTCAAAAAAAAAAATGGAAAAAAAGAAAGAAAACAATATAGATGAAATAAAGCATTTGTCTCTGATGCAGAGAGTTAAATATTTTATCTTCCATGCCCCCATTTCATGGGTCTCATGAAGCTCAAGCTGACCTTCCAACTCATGTAGCCCAGGCTTGAGTCGAACTCCTGATCTTCCCCTCCACCTGCAGAGGCTGCCTGGATCCTGTAACTCTCCAAGGTGGCTTTATTATAACTTAGCCACTACAAGCAAGCCTATGTGGATATCCTGTTCCCTTGTGGTCAGGAATGACACCATGCAGTGTCTTTGACTCTGTTTAGATGACATCTGGGGATGTTTCTGAAGTTGTTACTTTGATGTTTATTGTTTTTGGTTTTGTTTTGATTTGATTTTTTTGTTCGTTTGCTTGGTTTTGGGACTTGCTCTGTAGACCCCTCCCAAGTTCTGGGATTAAACGTGTGCATCACCACCACCAGCTCTTTGGTGTGTTTTAAGTCACGTTTTTTGCTTGTGTGTATGGGGGGGTTGCTATGATACCTGTGGAGTGCAGAGGACACATTTATAGTTGTTTCTCTCTACTCCAGCCCTCAAAGTTAGCATCAAGTACCCTCACCCACCAAGCCTCAGCTTGTTTTTATAAAATGTCACTGTGTCACCCTTATTAACTTGGAACACACAGAGAGCCACTTGCTTCCTGAGTGTTGGGGTTTAGATTTTATTTAATGTGTATGCTTACATATATGCCCGGCACACACTGAGACCAGAAGAGGGTGTCAGGTCCCAGAAGGTGCTGGAGAATGAACCCTGGTCCTCTGTAAGAGCAACCAGTGCTCTAACTGGGCCATCTCCCGGGTCAGCTTTTGATCCTTGATGAGCTGTGTGTGCAGCAAGCACGGTGCACGGTGTCCACACCTGAATGTTAAAGGAGCTGGGCAGTGGCACATGCCTTCCTTTAATCCCAGCCCTCGAGAAGCAGAGGCCAACCCGGTCTACAGAAAGAGTTCAGAACAGCCAGGACTGTTACACAGAGAAACCCTGTCTTGGAAAACCAAAATAATTTTAATAAGAAAAAAAAGTTGGAAGTAGAGTGTGACCCCAGCACTCAGGAATCAGGGGACTTCGAGGAGATCCCCTGTGGGAAAACACCTGCCATGCACTTGGAATCCACATGAAGCTGGACAAAGCTGTGTGTTGGGATCTCAGTATCCTGAGATTAGTGGAGAATTCAGGGTGGCTCAACGGGTAACATTTGCTATGCCAGGCCTGCTAATGTGAGTTTGCTTCCTGAGAATGGACTCCTGCAGGTTGTCTTCTGACCTTTGCAAGCAAGCACACACACAAAGTAACTAAACAAAGTACCGGGGCTGGAGAGATGCCCAGTGGCTGAGAATACTTGGCTGCTCTTGCAGAGGACCCAGGTTGGATTCCCAGCACCTGTGTCGAGTGGCTCATGACTGTTGTTCCAGCTCTGGGAGACCCACCACCCCTTGTGGCCTCTGCCAGCACTACACATAGAAACACATTTAAAAAAATAATTTTTTAAAAGTTTGGTTTTTTTTGAGACAGGGTTTTTCCAGCTGTGAGCACTAGCCCCATAGAGAGTTTGAACCAGTCAGTTAGTAAGAACCTATCTAAAAAAAGAAAAAGAAGAAAAAAGAAAACTAAAGGAAGAGGGGTGGAGAGAAACTCAGCGGTTAGCAAACAGGCTGCCCCCACAGCAGATGCAGCCGATTCCCAGCTCACAACCACCTGTGACTCCAGTTCTGGGGAACCAATGCCCCCGTCTGGCTTCCTCGGGTACTGCATGCCCTTGGTGCTCAAACATGCAAACCGACCTAAAACATTAAATTTTAAAAGAAAGTAAGGGCACATATGAGATTAAATGTGCTGTGGTCTCAGGCTGACCTCTGACTTTTGCAGAACTGCTGTGACACCACCTACCCCACTAATATACATGCAGACACGTGCACCCAAGAGCATAAAAATCAAAATAAGTAAGTCTTGAAACTTAAAAGAGGGTAGGGCTGGGTGGTAGAGCCACGCTCAGGTCCCTACAGGGGAGTGCCACAGGGTCATGGTGCCATTTGGAACTCTCTAGGACCCCTCCAGGCCGCCCATGTGCCCTGTCCTGTTCCTGAGCCCTTGGCTGCCTGAGGGTTATTTTCTCTTCATTTCCAAACTGCGGATTCTTGGCTGCTGCCATCTGCACACCCTCCCACACATAGCCAGGCTACATGTCCTGTGCCCCTGGGTGACCCTGTGGCCATGGCCACATTCCGATGCTGACCTGCCACTCACCTTCATGGCCTTTGGAATTGTAGTCTTGGGTTAGCGCTGTGGGGACAAAGCCTCAGTGGAGTCGCTGAGGCATCAGACTGATTCTGTAATTATACGGCTGAAGTCTCAGGGTCCTTGGGCTGTGTCCCAGGCCATCACCTCAGGCTCTGACTCCTGAGCTATCCCACCCACTATTGGCTCCAAATCCTGTCCCAGCCTCCTGAGTGCTGGGATGACAGCCGTCCCAGCTCACCTGGCTTACCCAGGGCCCCATGCATGCTGGGTAAAGGCTCTGCCCAGTCACGCCCCAACCCATCCCTATTCTGCTTTTTAGTTTCTTTCATGAGACAGGTTCTCATGCAGAGTGGTGAGTGGGTGGCACGTGACCCAGGTGAGTGACACAACAGGGGCCAGTCTCTCTTCCCTGGACACCTGTCACAGGATCTGGGGCCCTAAGCCAGGATGACCTCCAGGTCCTTCTTTTACATTTTTGAGACAGGGATTCCCTGTGTAACCCTGGCTGTCCTGGAACTCACTCTGTAGCTGGCCTCAGAGACCTGCCTGCCTCTGCCTTCTGAGTGCTGGGGTTAAACGCATGTGTCATCAAGACCACCCAGGGGTCTCCAGGCCCTTCTTTGCTTCTAGAAAGGTCCTAGTGGAAGGAAGGCTCTTGGGATTTATCTTTCTGTGTGGCAGAGGTAAGGCTAGCTCTCGTTAAAACAGCAGTCCCCAGCTCCCAGGATAGGAGGTAGGCTGCAGGAGACACCCCATTTCCTATGGGGTACCGTGTGCAGCGGGCCACCCCTTCCTTCTGCGTGCCATGGTAGCCTGTCACCTCCTCCAAGAAGCCCCCAGCATGCCTAGCTTTGCCCCTCCCCTCCTTCTGTGGATTAGTCCCTAGTAGCTGGAACATTGGCAGGAAGGAGGCCTGTTAGTTAATACATTCTGGGGTCCCAAAGTCGAAAACAATGGGAGGCCGTGTCTGACCCCGACCAGGTGCAGGTCACGTGAGCTGCCTATAGGCTGTGCAGTGCGCTCCAGGTTCCCAGCTTTGTGAGCTGTCACCCATGCTGGGGTGGGCTTTGTGACACAGCTGTCCTTGAGTCGTTTCTCTGACCCCTATTGGTTCACCGAGTTGCACTTGGTGATGGCCTCACTTGTCATGCGCTCCATACACAGGGTAAGTAGAAGTGTGCTGTGTCCTCCACCCCCACCCCCACAGCACCTCCCTGACCCTTGCCTGATGTCAGAATGGCATGACACCCATGTCACACATTCCAGGTTTTTGTAAATGGATGGGTGGTATCTACTGATCAGCAACTTACTAGTTGGTTATTCCCTCATCCAGCTGGGCTGTCTTGGCGGGCGAGGGCAATTCCTGGGATGACTTCCGGGTGGATGGTAGGTCTGCTCACCAGGCAGATATCCTGCAAGGGCACTTGCCTTTTCGTGGGTCTCAGCTCATATTATTATGGTGGGGGCCAAAGCATCAGGCACATACCAGGGCTAGTTCTATCTCAAAACCCACTGATTTTTTTTTTTTTTTTTTTTGAGACAGTGTTTGTGTAGCCCTAGCTGTCCTGGAACTCACTCTGTAGACCAGGGAGACCTTGAACTCAGAGATCCACTTGCCTTTGCCTCCCAAGTGCTGGAATTACAGGTGTGGGACACCATAGCCCAGCAACTCCATTTCTCACAGTTGGGGGACAATGAAGAGAAGCACAGATCAGCACCTCCCTCCTCCCACACCATGTGGACGCCAGCGCTTACATATAGGAAAACAACTTTATTAAGAAGGCTGTCAAGTCCAAAAATAAAACTCTTGATACAATTTTTTAAACCCTTAAATCAGTTCAGCAAATATATAATCAGTGATTTAGCTGTCAAAGATTAAAGGTCCGTTGCTTTATTTAAAATAAAATATATTTTAGTTCTTAAAATTTATTCCGTAAAGTACATATATCTAATATAAATTCCCTACATATACACAGGAAATATGAAGTAAAAATAACAATAAAAAAAAACTTTAAAAACCTTTTTAAAAAACAACAAAAAAAAAACCGCAACACTGAGTCTTAATTTAAAAAAAAACAAAACAAAACCAAAAAAACCACAATAAAACAAAGCCTATAAATTTGTTGATGGGACACCCCTTAATACCCTCCCCTTGCCCTCCTCTGGCCACCCCGTGGCTGATGTATACAAAATGGTATATATTTGCCCCAAAAAAAGGGAGTGTGTGTGAGTGTGTCGAGGGGTAAAAGCCACCTGCCTTTTTCTGGAAGTTTCTACAAGAATCCACACTGTTAAATCCAGTGAGAGTTGTAAATATCGTGTTATTTTTTTGTTTTAAGATCACCCCAGAAACGGGGAGGGGTGTCTTAATAAAAAGTGCAAACAGAGAATTCTCCGGTTTTATTGTCACCGGTTCACTCAATACTGTCACTTGTCAAGAGCGGAGGCGCTGCCGCTGGGCCGCAAGCTGATGGCCTCGACGCCTGCTGCAGGAGTTAAAGCTGTTTGCGACACGCGTGGGCCCCTCTCCCTCCCCACCTCTCCCAAGTCAGGCCCTGCCCTGTCCCCCCTCTCCCACCCCTGAGGTCCAAGGACCTCCTGCTTGGGGAAGCCAGGGCCACCCCGTGAAGTAGGGGTGAAACTAGGAAAAGATATGAATGGCTTGGGTAGCAGGTGTGCGGCAGGCGGGACACTCTGGCTCACTCTTCCCACAGATGCGGACAGCACAATCCATGCAGAAAAGGTTGTGGCCACAGGGGACCAAGGCGGCCATGGCCTCACCTTCTGCACACACCACGCATTCACGAGCCAAGGCTGCTGCGGGTGGGCTGGGCACTGCTGCGGATGCAGAGGAGTTCGCTGCTGTGGTAGATGGCTTGTGGTTGCCCTCCGAGGCGACGGTGTCCAAGGTGGAGGACACGGGGGTGGTGCTGGGCAGAGACGGGGCCGTGGAGAAAGTGGTGCTGCCGGAGAAGGGCGGGAGTGTGCTCTGCGGGGGTCGCCAAGGCACAGCACCCACTGGATCCGGGACACCTCTGCGTGCCAGCGGCAGCTCCAGGCTCAGTCCTCCAGGCTCGGGCAGCGTGGGTGAGTGGCGTGGCGTGCTGGAAGCCCCGCTGCTGCTGCGCCGTGTGCCTGCACTGGGTTGTACGGGTGCCCCATTGACTGCAGGGCAGCCGCTGAAGGCTGGCAGGGGTGCAGCTCGCTCAAAGGGTGCCCAAATGGTAGCCGTGGCAGGCACAGTTAGGTCCAGCGCAAGGAAGTCAAAACCAAAGTCGCAGTCCTCGGGGGTGGCTGTCCCCGTGGGGGCTCCGGGTCCGTCCCCACCAAACGTGAAGCCCCCGTTGCCTGAGCCCCCATAAGGGCTGCTGGGACTCGGGTCCGGTAGGGGTGGCCCTCCGCGGCTGCCCACGTAGAAGGGCTCAGGGGTGCTGGCTGCGCCCAGGACGCTGTCCCCACGCAGGCCACTGGTGGTGGCTGGGGGCCTCCGTCCCGGGTGGGGGGCCTTGGCCCAGAGGCTGGCGGCGGCTCCCAGCAGGTCCAGACACACGTCGGTACCATTGGCATGGAAGTCGCTGTCGGGCCCTGCGTCTGTAAAGGCCCCGGTGCGCAGCGTGATGTGCGCCTCGATCTCCTCCCGCGCACGGTCCACGTTCTCAGGCATTCCGGTCACTGCGAACACTGGCTCCTTGTCACGACCAGGGGTCACAATGTACGTGTGCGTCCTTTGCTGGATCCGTTTTATGGTGGCACCCTTAGGACCCACCACCAGCCCCACCACGCGGTAGGGAACGCGCACCTGGATGGTCGTTTGGCCGGGCAGGTTGGGGGGACCTGCGGTGGCCCCCGACAGCCCGCCTGCCTTGCTGCGGGTGGCTCGGATAAGCGAGAAGTGCTCGGCGGCCGACAGGATCTCGCGCTTGGCCATCTCCACATCCTCCTTGCGCCCAGTTACGATGAAGACTGGCTCCTCGCCACGCACGGGAGTCTTGATGTAGGTATTGGTCTTTGCACGCAAAGCCTTGATCTTGCACCCTAGGAAGACGGGAGACACGTGACCCAGGACACCCAAGCCTGATACATCCAAGTCTGACCCATCTTCCGCAGTCTGTCCCCAGACACTACATGGACCTCCTAGCCTGAGCTCATTGCCATCTCTGGGTACAAACAAATGGCCAGAAGAGCAAGTCCCCAGCAGGGAAGGAGAACTGGCTTGAGGGTTAGAGGGTCTGCTCAAACCACCAAGATCAATGTGGTGGAACAAGAGAACCAACTCCCATTTGACCTCTGACCGCCTTATTGTCTTGAATCGGCTCCCCTCAGGGATGAATGAATGAAGGAAGGAAACCTGGTGTAGCCTCCTCAGAGTTCAAACCCACCAGCTGCGGCTTGACTATGTCCCTCTGCAGTCTTAGTAGGAATTTGATAATCAGCATAAGAGGACTCAGAAGCCATGTCAGGAGCCTGCCACCAACCTCAATGGGCTTACCCTGAATGTGGTGGCACACTCCTGCCACCCCAGTGATACCCAGTCTCATCTCAAGCACTGGTGATGTGGAGCAGGAGGATAGGAGTTTGAGGCCAGCCCGAGCTAACATGAGCACTTCTTTGGGTCCTAGACCCTCTAACAGCAGTGTGCGGGGTGGGGAGCTGTGGCACAGGGAATTGGACTCCTGGGCCATAATTCTGGGACACTGAAGGGGGGGAGCTTTGCCTGTGGGCTGTAGACATCTCCCCCACTACAATCCGAGACGCTCCAGCTTGGGGGAGGGGGTGCGGGATGCCAGGCAGGCGGAGCTGGAACACACTGTCAGCACTACCCAGCACAGAGGGCTGCAGAAGGCAACAGTGTTGCTCTCGTCTGCAGCAAAGCAGAAGGGAAGCAGGGGACCAGCAGGCCAAGGCTGTGTGCACCATGACCACCACAACTGGGGTCACCTCTCACCAAAATGTGACCAGAGTTTCCTTCCACCTCCTGGGCTGGGGTTGAGGCTGTTCCCCCACCTGGCTACATGTCTTCTTCCATGGGACCCCATAACAAGCTGGTACCCAAAGCACTGACACCCCTAAAGTGCCCCAGGCTTGTCCCTGATCTGGCTGCCCTGGTGGAGTCTAGTCTGTTCCCAGTTCAGGCGCCCCTTACAGCAGAGAAGGTTTACAGAAACAGCCCAGTTCATAGACTGACTTTCACACAAGAGCTGGGATTCAGGTGTGGGGGATGGTGGAGGCTGGGGACAGGCTTGTGAACCTGGAGGGGGAGGCAGTAAATGAGGAAAGGACCCCCCCACACACACACACACAGCTGCTACTCCTTCGTTGGGCCCACATGCCTTGGCCCAGATGGCAACCTTAGGTAGGGCCCTAAGCACCAAGAGGCTATAAGAAGGTGGACATGTTGGCATACACTGGTCACCTCAGCACTCAGGAGGCTGAGGAAGGGACTGTCCCAAGATGGAGGTCAGCCTGGGCTACAAACAAACAAAAACTGGATCTAGGCCTGCAGGGGTGTGGACCAAAGTACCCTCCAAACTATTCTTCAGCATGATGTCAGGGCACAAGCTGGCCTTGGGCCCTGTTGCTCTGGTCAGGTGTGTAGGTCACATAAGGGAACGTCTTCTGTGTTCCAGGGGAAACGGTATACATGACCTGGGTGTTGACTGGTGAGCTTGAGTAGTTCAGGGAACCAGCCCAGGGGAGAGAAGGGGGTGAACACAGGGACACAAGGGCAAGGGCAACAAGAGACGTGACTGATGACTTGTCAACTTGAGTCAAAGCTAGGCACACCTGGGAAGAGGAATCTCAACTGACAACCTCATCCATCAGACTGGCCTGTGGGTATGATTTGTGGGGCATTTTCAAGATTAGTGATTGAAGGGGAAAGGGCCTAGCCCCTGATGGGTGAGGCCACCCTGAGGGTGGTGATCCTGAGTGCTCAGAACGACTGAGCAAGCCATGGGGAGCAGCCAGTAGGCAGCACCCTCTGAGGCCTCTGCTCCAGGTCCTGCTCTGACTTCTCTCAGTGATGGGTGGTAGCTGGGAGATTAAGTCTTTACCCTTTTCCTCTTGGGCTGCCTTTGGTCAGGGTTTTATCACACACAGCCACAGCCAGCCAGCTAGGATGGATGGATGCATTTGGGCGGGAGTGAGGCTAGCATCATGTTTCCACATTCAGGTGCCCTCCCTGTGGTCTGAGCCCATTACTCAGTACATACTTGTACCACAATGAACCAGGATTTAAGAATACTTGCTTAGTGTCCCGTGTGGGGGCACCCAGAACTCAGTGAGCTCTGCCAGACTTATGAGGGCCAAGAACATCCTGAAATCCCAATTACACTGCAGGCAGGGTCGAGCACAGAGCACCTGGATTTGACTGTCCGCCAAAGAGTGGTCAGCTGTACGTTTACACACTCTGTGGCAGGACCTACCCCAGGAAGAGGCGGCAACCAGGTTTAGGACAAAAGACTACAGGCCTTTGATTTCCACAACTGTCCACACAGACTCCGAACAAATCGGGAAAAGCTAGCCCAGGGTGGCAGAGGCTCCCTACACAAAGGGATAGCTGGCTTACTCTATGATCTGTTCCCATTTTCGCCTTTGCCACTCCTACCCACGAGCCCTTTGGGCACCGAACAGTTCATTCTCAGAAAGCATGAAACAGGTAAAATGAACGACCAGAAAGGTAGGAGACACTGGCTGTGACCCACCTACCAAGAATTAGGGAAGGTGGCCATGAGGTGTCCCTGGCTGCTGGAGGGTGACAGCTGACCCTGCAATTCAAACTACCCACATCCTCCATCGGTTACAGAGAGTCTAGAGATGCCTGAGCCCCACCCTAAAGTTCTTACAACCAGGTGGATCCCCATCTCAGAGGGTGGTGCTGGGGCAGGCTACTGTGGGTGGGGAATGCAGCAGAAAGTTGGGGGCCACTGTTATCCTGGCTTGTGGATATATGAAGGGCCAGGCACTGCCCACCACCCTCATGCCCGCCCCAGCAGCTCAAGGGCCAATGAGCAACGGCTGGCCTGATGTCACCGTGCGAATCTCAGCCTGGCTTTCGAACAAAGAGAACAATGGGGAGGGCAGCAGAGACACTCCCCAGCTCCACAGTGCTGCAGCAGGGACCCCCAGACTCTGGGTAGCTTGGATCCCTAAGCCCTAGACTTGCCGGGGGTCAACATGTCAAGATGGGCTCAAAGAGGGGTGCACCTCATTGGAGAGCTGCAGCCAGGAGGTCCTCCTATAAATTCCAGATTCTCAAACTCAGGATACGCCTAGGGCTAGAGCCCTTTTCTAAGGCGACCCCTTAGGGCACTGAGGGAGGCACCTTCTAAGCTACTACACTTCCCTCCTTAGCCTCCAGGCACCCTCCCTGGGATACCAAATCTGAGCTGGCCCCGCCCCATGTCTATGGTGGTGGTGGTGTGGGGGGGTGGAGCACCCACTGCCCAGCCCTGGCTGCCGCTTCTGAGGGGCCCGTGTTTCAGGGTGTCCCCAGCTAAGGCACATAGACTGTGGCTGTCCCCAGGAACCCAGACAAAAGCAGCAGCAGTGACCATAGCTTGGGCTGTGCCCAACTTCTGCAGCAGCCGGCAGCTTTGAACAAAGGCGCCAAGGAATCCACCAAGGCCTAGAACCCACGCGGGGCGTGTCCTGGGTCTCCTGGTCACATCCACACAGGGTTAGACTAAGCCAGAGCTTGTTCCTTCCTTCTCCCAAAACACACCCCCCTGACATCTATTCACGTGCAACCCCCACCTCCTCGACGGCAGCCACTCACCCTGACGACCCACGATCTCCGCAACATGCTCCGAGCTGGGCACCGGCACACACTCGGTCATATTCACGCTCTTCTTTCGACTGCCGATCACGTTCAACTGCTCAGCCAGCAGCGTCGAGGGACCCAAGGCGCCCGGGTGTGGCGCGAAGCTGGCGAACACGTCTGGGGGCGATGGCCGGGGGCTCACGTCGGGGTCCAGAAGAGGCAGCCCGCCGGGGGCTACCGAGGAAGCTACAGCCATTGTGGGTGCCAGGGTCACCGAGTGTCCTACAGTCACTGAGGGTGTCAGTGCCATCGAAGGTGCCACGGTCACCGAGGGTGCCACAGCCATGCAGGGTGCACAGGTCACCGAGGGTCCAACGGCCATCGGGGGTGCACTGGTCACCGACGGTGCCAGCGCTATCGAGGGTGCACCAGTCACCGAGGGTGCCAGAGCCATCGAGGGTGCACCAGTCACCGAGGGTGCCAGAGCCATCGAGGGTGCACCGGTTATGGAGGGTCCCACGCCCATTGAGGGCGCACCAGTCACCGGGGGCACCATGGCCGTCTCGAGTTCGTCGGGGGGCGCGGACCCGTCCTCCTCGCGCTCCGCCGCCCCGTCCGCGCTGCGCGTAGCCGTCCCCTCCTTATCTCCGGGGCGCGCGCCCCCCAGCCCGAGCGCGGACAGCTGGTCCAGCGCCAGGCGCAGCGCAGCGGCCGCGTCGTCGGGCTCGGGTGGCGGCCGGGGCGCGGCATCCTCCGCTCCCGCGAGTGCAAGGTGCGGATGCCCGGGGTCGCCGGCGGTGGTCCCGGTTCCCGCGCCGCCAGCGTCGGGCTGCCCGCTGGAGCCCGGCATGGCTTTAGCGCTCGGGCCCGCGCCGCCGCCGCCGCCCGCGCCGCCCTCCGCGTCTGCGAGCTCGGCCGCCGGCCGCCGGCATCCAGCGGCGGGGCGGGGACGGCGGCGCGGGGATGCTGCGGGGACGCGGGGCTGCGGGGCGGTGGCGCTGTGGCGGGGCTGGCGACGGCTCCTGGGCGGCCGAGGCGGCGGCGGCGGCGGCGGCGGCTGCGGCGGCGGCAGCGGTGGCACGGGACGCTCGTGCCCTCCCTCCCTCCGCCCTCCCGCCGCCCCGCCCCGGCCCCGCCCCGCGACGTCACCGCAGCCAACAATGGGCACCGCCGCTGCGCACGCGCGGGCCGGGCCGACGGTCACGTGTTCGACCCTCCCCCCCCCCCAGCGTGCTGGCACGTGCGGGAGGCGCCGCAGGTGGGTTGCGGGAACCCGGGATACTCAGAGCCTCCTTTTTGCGTCCCAGGGAATCTGGGGAGGGTCGTGTGCTCCAGGGGCCCTCCCCATCACCTCTGGCTTTCCCGGCCGCCCAGTGCGCGCCAGGGGACCTTTGGGATCTCTGGGATCATCTCGCGGTCACACTTTCCCCTCCACATCCCACTCTAAGAACGGACTCTTTCCTGTGCGCAAAAGTTTGGTGTCCCCCTTCCTTGTCTATCTTCCCAAGTCAGTCCCCGCCCTTCGAAAGCAGAGAATTTCTTCCTTGCGCCTGGGGACATCGGGACCCTCTAGCAGTGATCACCTCGGGGCCACACGGTGTTTTCTCTTTCCCACCTCACTCTTGTGTCAGCTCAAAGGCTTAGCTATGGTCCTTATCCTGTGCCTGGCTTGCCCCAGCTTGTCTCTGCTCTCCAGAAGCCCGGGGCTTATACCTTTGTGCATCTGGGGACCCTCTCATTTCGTGTAGCACGGTGCTTCCCGCCCCCCATTTCATCCCCAAAGTCATGGAACTTTTCTCCACGCAACAGGCTGGCGTCCCTCTCCCGTGCCTGTCTTCTCCCAGCTGCTCCGTTCTTCCCTTCGTGGGGCCTCTACTCCAAGCACATGTAATGACCTGGGGTCACTTAAGATATGACCTTCCATTTTGGCATCATGTTATCGCAATCCGCTGGTGGGTGGGCTACCTCTTGGCATGGTGCCTAGGCAGTCCCTGGGGTACTTTTCCCCAAGTGAAGCCTCCAGTCCCAACATATTTTTCCTTGGATGAATGTACCCCCAAACTTAGACATCATCCCCTGGATGGGGCTCCTGGGGTGAGTAGCTTGTCACCAGCCACTGTCCACTATCATTGAGTCCCACCCTCACCTAAGGTACCTGGGCTCTGAAGGAAGAGAACTTTGTTCACAGGCTCTGTCCATCCAGGGCCACCCTGTCCCCAGCTTGGTTCACACACCTCAGCGCTCCTGTTAAGATTTCTCATGATGAACTGATGGGGAACAGGATGGACCTTGCCTGGGTCCCTACTTATGGCTGATTGCAACCTCAGGCCAGTTGTGTGGGTCTCAGGGCATAGGCTGTCCCATTCCAGCCACAGCAGGGGCCCCTGTGTGTTGTGTGTGTCCTGGCCATGGCTTTTGGTTACTTTTACAATCATTTTAGACACAAGTATAGGTTGCAACACTGAGGAGTGTCCTACTCACACCTTCCAGAGTGTTGGGTCTTCTGCCCAGAAGCCACCCTCACTCAAAAGGTCAAGAGCTGGCAGAGTATTGTGGCTCCATACCTTTAAGTGCCAGACCAACCAGGGATATGCAGTTATAGCCTATCTACAAACAACAATTCTGTTAAGAAGTCAAAGCCTGGAGACAGTGGTCCACACCTTTAATCCCAGCATTGGGGAAGCAGAGGCAGGCAGATTTCTGTGAGTTCAAGGTCAGCCTGCTGTACAGAGCAAATTCTAGGACAGCCAGGGCTACACAGAGAAACCCTGCCTTGCTGGGGAGTACTAATTTGTTTTCCTAACACGTGATGTCAAGCCCCTCCCTCCCTGGACTCACCTACAGGCCTTGCCCTTCCCTTTGCAGAAGCTTTGGCAGGTACTCAAAGCCAGAGGCTGTGTTGGGACGTATGAAGTCAATGGGGTCACCTCTGCCCAATCCCAGGTCTTTGAATCTGAGGCTGGTTTGGTGGACTGATGGAGCATAGAAGAAAGTTCTGGGGAGGGAGATATACAGCAGGGAGAGGAGAAAGGGAGAGCCTCTGAAAAGTCAAAGTCACAATTTGTTCTGAGGAATCAATGCAATTCAAGAGATTAGGGAAGAGGGGCTGAGGAGACAACGCAAAGGTGAGGCCCCAAATTCAAGTTACAGCAGTGACCCCAGCACCCGGAAGTGCATCCCTGGGCAGCAGCTCATGCTAAACCCCTCTTTGGGCTCCTATATGCATATGGTGCAAACACATAAAGTCAAGCATGTACACCTAAAATTTTAAAGTTAAACTGGAGAGTTAACGGAGTATGGTGGTGCCCCGCCTTTAGCCCCAGCACTCAGGAGGCAGAGGCAGGTGGATCTATGAATTCAAAGCCAGCCTAGGCTACATAAAGTTGGGGCTGCAGAATGAGAGAGACCCTGTCTCCAAACAAATAGACAAGAATCCCAGGGCTTGGGAGGGAAAGGCAGGTGGATCTCTGTGTCTCCCAATCTGCCTGCTCTAGAGAGTGAGACTATGTCTAGAAATATCACAAGAAAACAAGGGCCTTAACTCACTAGCTTTGTTCTTGCCTAATATGGAGGGAGCCCTGGGTTCCAGTCAGCACCACAGAAATGGGCTGTACTGGTTCAAGGCTGTCATTCCAGTACTCCCAAACCTAGGGTTAGGGGAAGGTGATGTGATGAGGGGGTGTCTGGAGGAACCATGGAAGTGTGGAGGTGAACCCAGGACTAGTCAGCTTACTCACTGGGTGAAGAACTTGGGGGTGTGACATTCCTTGATATGGTGGGAATGCCTGACCCTGAGAGTGATCTGAAGGTACCCAAGGGATGACACCAGAATGTTCCTGACAGATACCTGCTTGCAGGAGCGCACTTGCAAGTGAACACACACACACACACACACACACACACACACACTATGAACAAACTAATAAAGTAAAACACAAAATAAATGGGACACTTCAGGGGCTGTGATGTGTCTCAGTGGTAGGGTACATCCCAGCATGCACTTGGCCCTAGGTTCATTCTCCATCTCCACAATAAGAACTAAATATGGAGGCCAGGAGAGATGATGACTCAGTGGTTAAAGGTTCTGGCTGCTTTCCTAGTAGATGCAGGTTCAATTTCCAGTACCCACCACAGTGGCTTACAACCATCTTAATTCTAGTCATATGGTGGGTGCTGACATACTCTTCTGGCTTCTGTGTGCAGAGCACACACATGTTATTCTTAGAGGCAAAACACCCATACACATGAGTAGATGAAGGCATCTAAAGGCACTTGCTTCCAAACATGACAACTTGCATTCAATACTGGGACCTGTTCCTCAGCCCAATGCTGTGGGGTTAAAGGTGTGTATCCCACTTTGAATACAGATTGGGAGGCAATTTTCGAAACAATGTGGAAGGCAAGGTGGATCCTGGTCATACTGAAGCCAGTATTGGCACACAAGGCTCTGAGCATGTGAGCACTCTTGGCACTTCAAGCTTCACATACTACTAATAAAGCTAAATTTGGAGTCCTTTGACTCATTTGAAAATGACTGCAGGAGTCAGTGTAGATGACCTCTCCCTGGGGGGCAGAATTTAACCCTTGACCAGCATGGTGCCCTGGGTTTCACTAAAATATCTAATTATGTCCATGGAGCTCCAGAATATTCCATCATCACAAGAGGCCATGTCCTCACAAGCCTTTGATGTCCCCACCTCCCAGCACTCCTCACTGTCCCTGCTTTTTCCAGTCCCACTGTGAGCTTTGACTGCATCACCCTGGCATGACATCCTGGCTGTGTGGCATTGCTTTCCTGCTCATGGCCTAGTAATATTCTGGCAAGTGGGTGGCCTCATCCAGGTAAGCCTTTATCTATATTGCCACTATCCTGACTCATGGTAGCCAGTGGACAGAGACATGCCCTGGAGGAGCTGAGCAAGTTTGTAGTGGCTGCAGGACAGCAGGGCACAAGGTCTTGTGGGAGGGTCATGGGATTGTCGGGTAATCTGAGGTCTGTGGGCTGGATGATAAGTATCAGGTAGATTGCAGAAAGATTCAGGGGTTGTGGAGCTGGGAAAGACTACAGGGAGCCCGAGAGCCTTTAGCTTAACTCCTGGCCAGTTTCTTGGGAACTCTCAGCCCAGGCCCAGAACCCTCTGGAGGGGTGCCCACCAGGGGCTGTACACTATCTCTTGGCCTGTTGCGCCCCCAGTGACTTAGAGCCTACACAAGGGGGCAGGTTATGTTGGGCAGGCCATGTAGAAGGCCCTGCGGGGGAACAGTCACCAGGGCAGGCCCAGGTCCTATCTGAAGGATGTAGACCTGCCCAAGGAAAGTGGGTCTTAAAGTGGAGGGGGTAAGAGACAGAGAACAGGGATGGGCATCCCCTCATTAGTAGGGGCAGCAGGGGTGATGGCGGCATCCCAGAGCTGTCCAGACTATTCACAGGTTAGTGGGCTATAGGATGGAGCCTTGGGGAGGCCTCGCCTCACGTCTTCCAGGCATGCTGGGGCCATTGGTCCCTATCCTGGAGAGAACTTACAAACCCTGGGTCCTCTGGAATGGCCACAACGGTCAGCGCTAGAGAGAACCCAACCACAGAATTGTGGCATCTTGCTGGGGGAGGCTGCCCCAGTATGATCCAATGACAGGAAGGGTGGTCCTTATGGTGACAGCAGCCCAGAGGAGATCCCAATGTGACAGAAGTGACACAGGGCGACCAGGCGCAGTCACTGGGCTCTGTAGAACCGCTCAAGTGTCTGATGGGTGACACTGGTAGAAGCTGGGGTGAAGTGGGGTGTCCCACAACCTGGGCAGCAGGCACTGTGGGTTCACCAAGCACCCTCAGAACTGTGGCTTACACACAACAGTGAGAAGTCAGAGGCCTGAAAAGTTCCTACCATTGGTTTATTGAAGGAAGTGAGTTCTTGGCTGGCTGCTGGCCCTCAGCTCAAGGAGGCTGGGCGACCCTGAGACCCTGGCCCATGACACTGAGAGGCGGGAACAGCCAGGTGTGTTTCCAGAACATTCTTCCAGTGCCAGACAAAGCTTGTAGCTCCCTGGTGATGAGCAGGGCCTCTTCCTATGGTGAGGAGTCAGGAAGGCCACCTTCCAGCCAGGCCCTCTGACCTTCAGCTTTCAGTGTGGGGCTTCTTGCAGGGAGTGCAGGAGCAAATGAGTCTAAGGCCCACAGGGCTCTCTACACTGAGACCCAGGAGCTAGAGAAGGTGTCCTGGGAAGAAGATGGAGGCCTGCCTCCTGCTGGTCTGGCCGCCACCTGGTCCAGGCAAGGCTGAGGGAAGTCTGCAGGTGGCCATGCAAGGCAGAGTACAACCCAGCCTTGGGCAGGGCATCTGGAAAAGGCACAAGGGAAGCCATTAGCAGCCTGACTAGGAGATGAGGCCAACACCTGGTCACCCTGGCCTGCAGCACCTGTGCTAGACACGCTCAGATTCCGGCTCATCATCTTCCTCATCCTCATCCTCATCGTCCTCAGTGCAAGCCTTGTTCAGTGGCACCTCCCCATCACGGGCCAGCTCCTCCACGTGTGCCAGCATGTCCGCCATCAGCGCCTCCTCTAGGCGCTTGCGCACCTGCTGCACCAGCTCCTCCTGCTTCCTGGGAAGACATACTCTGACAGGGCACACAGGCTGGGGACTGGTCACCTCACAGCCTCAAGAACTCACTGATCAGTCCACAAGCACGCCACCACAATCCCTTCCAGGAACTCCACAGAGTTCCCCATCAGCTTGAGTGACCACTGGCCCCATAACATTTTCAACTACTCATGCCCAAGCTACGTAGAAGCCAGAGCCTACAGCTAACTCCAGGTCCACGTCCACCCTAGATTCTGGGCCCTGCTCTTGTCGCTATCTAATCCAGGCCAGCCCCTCTGAGCCAGGGCTTCTTGCTCTGGAGCCTTGTCTCAGGTGCTCAGCCCTGGTCCACACTAAAACGCAGAGCCATGTCAAGTCCTCTACTTCCCTGGCCATTCCCAGCCTGGACCCTTCCTCAGATCCAGCCCCACTCAGTTTCTCTTAGTTTCCCAATTCTCCAAGGTCCATGGTAGTCATGGTTACTGAACCAAGACTGCACTTCACTGTCTTACCCATGCCACACCAGACCCGAGCCCTCAGGAATCTGAGAAACCAGGTAGTTGCTGGCTTGCCCTGCATCCCTGTGGAGATAGGGGTGGGGCCACCAGTTACCTAATGTCGTCGTCAGTCACCATGAAGGCTTTGCACAGTGGCTGGGCAGTGTTTAGCCACACGCCAGGATTCTTTTCCACAGCTGCAGACAGCTGGCCGGTGATGGGCAGGGTGCTGGTGTGCAGTGCACTGGCGATAGCTGACAGCAGCGTCTCATCTGTACAGCCTGGACCCACCCCTGTGGAAGAATGGCAGTGTGGGCAGGATCACAGGAATGGCATAGGTTCTTCCACTTCCGTGGGCCTAGAGTTCCACCTGGGAAGCCATGACCTCATCCCAGGCCAGTCTCTGTCAAAAGAGCCAATCCAGAGGCCCCACCAAAGCCTGGAGTGGTGGCACTCTCCTATAAGCCCAGGCAAAGGCGGAAGATGGGAAGATGGGCGTATGTGTGAGCTGAGGCCTGCCAGGGCTTCACAGTAGAATCTGGAGGGAGGGCTGGCATACGAGTGCTCACTACGTTTCCCAGTGACCACGAGAGAGGGCTCAAAACTGTGTGAACTCGAGTTGCATGGGGCCTATGCTCTCTGGCCTTCACTGACACCAGGACGCATGCAGTACACATAAACACGCACAGGCAGGCGCGCACGCGCACACACACAAATCAATATATCTTAAAAAAAAATAAAAAAGAGTCCTTACCAGGGCACCCACCCACTTCATCTAAATCTAGAGGGCTGCTGCTACCCGCCCCAGCTCACCCTGCAGGCCCTTGGGCAGGTCCATGGTTCTGACAAGCTCCTCTGCGATGTCAAAGGCACTCAAGCCACTCAGCTTCTTCTCCCAGAACAGCTTTAGGGCAAGAGAAGCAAAGTTACAGGAAGCAGAGATGGGAGGGGCCCTGGGGGTGTTTACAAACAGGCCTGAAAAACACAAAGGAGCCTGGGGTTTTGTTATGTTGATTTCTTCTTTTTCTTAAAAGTCTAGGTTTCTTGCTAAGCCTACTAAAATCTACTGCCTCAGACTCCTCTAAGTGCTGGACAAAGGGCATGGGCCATGAAGCTTGGCCTGCCCTTCTAAGAAGTAAATGCTTTCCAAGCAAAGATATAGAAGCTGGAGCAGGAGGCTTGCGTATCTCACCCAAGGCACTGGCTCCTTTCACCCTTAAAGAGCGAGCTTTTGTACTAAACCAAGAGGCCGCCTAGAAACCGCGGGGGATAGGGTGGGGCTCACCTGCCTCGGCTGGTCCACTGCCTTCTGCGGGTCACTCTTGACCTTGTTGCTGGGGTGGTTGGTGATCTTGGTCACCGGTTGCTTGAAGATGGATGCGGTCTGCCGTACAGGCAGTGCAGTGTTCAGGTCAGGTTTGCCCTGGGGGGAGAAGACTCTGCAGCGGGCCGCTCCGACCGGGGTCCATGGAGGGTTGGAGGGGCCAGGGAGGCGTTTAGCCAGAGCCTGAATGGTGTTGGGTGGGCGATCAGGCGGGCAGATCTCACACCCACCAAACCAAATGCGCGCCATGCTTTTGCCAGCAGATACTGACTCGATGGCGATGGTGGCTAATCCAGAGGGCCCGCCCCCTACCCTGACGTCACAACCCTCACCTTGACCTGGTTGGAGGAGTCATAGCGCACGCGCTGGCGGCTCTTATTCATCTTGTTCATCAGCATTTTGCCAGTGCGGAAATCGAAGGTGCTGAGGTCCATGGAGCCGCCCAGGTAACGTGCCAGCTGTGGCTTGCTGCGGAATTTCTTGCCGCTGGGGCTGCGGGCGGGAGGCTGGTCAGCCCGAGCAGGACACACCCCTACCCACCACGCCTCAGGGTTTCATAAGGTCATAAGTAAGCGGGAAGAACAGGCCTAAGGAGCTGGGCGTTGGGCTAGTACTTCTGGGAAGCCCAAAGGGACCTGTACCCCTCTGATGCCTGGGCCGGAAGCCAGTCCCTTGTTCTCCAGGGATTACCTATTTGTAGGGCTACAGGGCTGTATTCATTTATTTTAGGGGGCAGGTCTCAAAACTCACTATGTAGCCAAGAATTCCTAATTCTGCTGCTTCCAGCTCCTGAGTGGCCATTGCCCGGATTCAAGTGTTGCTGAAGATAGGATCCATGGCTTCAGGGGCAGCTAGACCAACGCTCATCAACTGTGTAAGCCCCGGTTTTGTTTTTTGTTTTGATTTTTGAGAAAGGGTCTCATGTACTTCAGGCTAGACTTGAACTTGCCATATAGTCAATGCTGCCTTCAACTCCCAAGTGTGGGATGGCATGTTCTCTTTTTTTTTCAAGACAGGGTTTCTCCAATGTAGCCCTGGCTGTACTGGAACTTGCTTTGTAGGCCAGGCTGGCCTTGAACTCGAAGAAATCCACCTGCCTCTGCTTCCTGAGTGCTGGGATTAAAGGCGTGTACCACCACAGCCTGGTCCTGCATGTTCTCTTGAGCTCATGTATATAGGATAGTCTAAATTCCAGGTCTTCTGGAGACTGGATCATACCCAAACCTGTGCTGGACACTCAGAGCCCAAAGGGTGGGGGCAGCCTTTGTGGTCCTAGATGGACAGTCAGCTCCTCCACATAGTGGAGTATTATTCAGCAATGGAAAGGAGCAAAGCTCTGATGTAGAATATGGAGGAGCCCTGAGGATGTTGTCCTTAGGAAGCCATTAAAGGCTACACCATGTGGGGAACCCAATAGATAGGAATGTTCCAGAATAAGTAGATTTGTCAGGGCTGGAGTGCAATGTTCTGGGGTTGGTTTTATAGTTGCAGTCATTGTTATCAGTAAAGTCAGAAATGATGACAGGCTGGGTGTGGCTCAGTGGTGAGCTAGCACTGGCTAGCTCGGGTTCCATCCCAGTTTCAGCCCGAAAGGGACAGTGTCTGGCTCACGGTACATCTCACTGGCAATCACTGTCACTCTTTGTAGCTGAGATTGGTGTTGTCTGCTGAGAGCCTCTTGCATGGGACTGTCCTGCATAGACAGACAATGATGCCCCAGACATGCACAGGATCTTACCGTGCCCTCAGAATCCACTCTGCCAGAAAGGAAGAGTCCCCGATATGAGGACCACACAGAAAACAGCTGGCCAATGGCTTGGTATGTCTCTGGTCTAGAATGAGGCACCCCACACTGCTTGCCAGGACTGGGATCCAAAAAGCACCGGGCTGCCACTAAGCCTACATGCTATCCCAGGCTTTAGCTGTGTGGACCCCAGCCAGGCCCAAGACTGACCGGCAGCACTTAGGGGGTGGGAGGGAGCATTGGGTAGTATAAGGCAACAGCAGACTATAGCTAAGGTGACTGACATCACGGTCCTCCCATTTCCACTTTCTGAGTGCCGTCATGACAGACACAGTGCAACCTGTTTGATTTTTTTGTTTTTGCTGCTGGGGATGAACCTGGGGCTGACTGCATGCTAGGCAAGCACTCTGCTCACAGAGCTCCATCCAGCCTTAGCCCCTAGCTCATTTTAAATGATAAATATTCTGGAATCCAATTTGATATTTGCCCACCTGTCTGAACATGCTAAAAGCCCACTGCCTCTTAAGTGGTTCTGGAATACAGGTTGGATCTCAACAAAGCTATATTAATTAAAAAAACAAACAAAATAACACCTCTCTGAAGAAGGAGGGTCCCCAAGTGATCAGGCCAGCCTGGGCTACACAGCAAGACCCTGCCTCAAAAAAATAAAACAATGGTTGTTGGCAGCTTTGTGTGTAGCAAACCCTGCAGGGCCCTGTTGAAACACTACGTCAACAGAGAAGTCTACCTGACAGCTTACCAGGTAAGTTGTAATGAACCCACAGAGCAGGGTAGCTCCAACTTCACAAACTGCCTGGACAGGGTCCCCAGGCCTAACAGTTAATGGTGTCAGGCTACGTGTATGGGAGGGTCCTCAAGTGAGGACCTTAACACCAGAGTCCTTTTGACAGTGACAGGGTGGCATGAACAAATGAGTTGGGTGGCATTTGTAGCTATCCTGTGCAAACATAGAAGTTTGGGGACAAGACAAGTGGGATAACTACAGTCTGGGGACGGCGTGGCTCTGGACAACTCCCAAAGGAGGAGGGCACTGTCTGGGCCACAGTCCCCACCAGGCACCAGGTGTTTTCAGCACTCCATGCTTTAGACAGAGGTGGAGACAGTTCTGCTCTCTAGTGGCAGGTCCAGGTCCAGGCACCAGCCAAGGCAGGCAAGTCAGGGAGAAGGGGGTTGTGACCCAGAAAAAACCTCAGACCTTTAGGAACCAACAGCCTGCCATTCTTTTTATCCTAAAGGGAGCCTGAGTAGGTACTAGCCTCCAACTTTATCTAGTACTCAAACCCATGACTCCACAAGACCAAACGGCCTGCCAGATATCCGCACAAAGTACCCATGCAATGCTGACTGCAACGAGGAAGGGCAACTATAATCAGCTCAAGATGTGTAGCAGGGCACTGGCCTAGCATGCACTAGGCCCGGGGTTCAATGCCCAACACAGGGGTTAAAAAAGGCGAGGGAAGACAATAGCAGATGGTGGCTGCCCGGCTGCAATTTGGACAGCCCTGCCACAGGTGTCGCAAGCCAGCCTCCTTGGACACAAAAGCAACAAAGCCTCAATGTTTACAATGCTTAGAAGCTGCTGTGGCAGATGTCACTTCTGGGGGGCAAAAGCTTTAGAAGAACCACAAAAATGGGGGCATTTTGGAAAAGAGCCAGAAATACGTAGCTGAGGGTATCAAGCCACCTGGGTAAGTTCGCCCTGCTCCCCGGAAGCCCCGTATGGTCACCACGAGATTCCCAAGAGGGTCAATGGGTCAGTCCAGCCCCCCCCCCCCCGCTTCCCAGCGGCGTCTGGCGAAGGCCGGGAGCCCCTCGCCGGCGTGCACGGTCCCTGACTCCGCAGAGAACAAAAGCTCGCGCCACAGGCAGCACCAAGCCACGAGGCTGGTGTAGCAGGCAATGCGCACGCGCGCTGAGTGACAGTCGCGCTGAACGGTGCGGACAAGCTCTGAGCTGGGTCGGACGCACGCGCACTGGGCGACGAGCCGAGGCCGACGCGTGCGCATTGGCCACAGCTAGCACGTAGGACGCACGCTCGGACGCACGTCGCCAGGCCCAGACTGCGGCCCGCAGTGGGGGCGCCCAGGCCGCCGCAGAGGCCGCTGGGAGGCGCCCGTTGGGGCCCTGCGCGGCCGGCGCTCTCATTCACCTATAGTAAAAGACATCCCTGTGGCCGGCCGACAGCCCCGACCTCCTGGGCACTTCTTCCCTTTCCCAGCCCTGCGGGAGCGCCGGGCACTCCCACCTCTTCCGCTCCATTGCGCCCCGGCTCTCCGCCCGCCTCCGGGCCCGCCGCCGCCGCTGCCGCCGCCGCCACTCGCGACCCCCCGATCGTCGCCGTCTCGGTTCCCTCCGCCGCCACCGCCACTCGCCGCGGCTGTTCCGACCCACGGGCCTCCGCCCTCCGCCCCCAGCCGGGCGCGCGCCGGCTTTGCCACCCGCTCGGCCCCCTCCCCGTGCTTCACAGCCCCCGCTAGGGGGGCCGCTCCGCCCACCCGCCCGCGCGTGGAGCCTGTCTGCGCAGTCGCGGCGTTGGCTCCGCCCCTCCCAGCTCGTAGGACTTGTCTGAAGGCGGTCGGGCTCTCTGCGCAGCCGCAGCCTCGGTCCCGCCCCCACTCGCTCTCAAGACCGGCCTCGCTGAGGTAAGGGCAATCGGATCACTCTGCGCTCTTCGGCTCAGAAGTACCTTGCGGGCTCCGCCCAGTCTCATTAGCAGGACACACCCATCGCTGTGAGACCAATCAGAGTGCTCAAGATGTCGTCTTTACTTGTATAGCCCGCCCAGAGACTGGGGCGACCAATCAACGTGATGGGGACGGCACAGCGACCGCGCTTGCGCTCGGGGACTCCAACCAAATTGGGTCCTGCACCTGGTCCCTACCACGGTGGAATTGTTTCCACCGGGAGGCGTTTCTGTCTTAGGGTCGCGCTCTGTTGCACCTGCGCAGTGTGCGTTTGCCAGGAACTCCTAGGGTATGACAGTAACCAGGTACAGCTCCAATTCAATTCCGCTTACCTCTGCGTCTCGTGCTAGTCTCGAATTCGCGGCAGTTCTCCTGCCTCAGCCCCGACACTGCTGGAGGGACAGGTGTGCCCCATCACACCCGGCTTCACCCAAAACTTTTAAAAGTTTATTCTTAGCCGGGCAATGGCGGCACATGTCTTTAATGCCAGCACTTGGGGAGGGGGTGAGAAACAGGCAAATATCTGCGAGTCCAAGGCCAACCTGGTCTACAGGCTAGCCAGGGCTACACAGAGAAGTCCCGTCTTGGAAAAATAATAAAGAGAATTGTATTTTTTCCTATCCAGAACCATCTAATTTTCCAGGTAGGGTCTCTCAACGTGTAACTCACCGTTTTGCCTAGACTGGGTGCCAGGGAGGTTCCCAGCATCGGGGTTACAGGCTAAAGCCCTGCTGGACTTTGCTGTGGATGCTGAAGAGGTTCATGTTCTCATGTTTGCTTGGTAGTAGGTTACTGAACGGTACCCCTTCCATTTTTCTAAACTAATAAGGGGACTCACTTAGCCTACCTAGGGTGTTCCCGACCTTGCTTCATAGCTGGGGATGGATGACCTTGTGCTGACCTTTCTGCCTACCCGCACAGTGCTGGAATCGACAGAGCCTTGTACATGCTGAGGGGCTACATCCCAAGTCTGTCCTGTAGACCTGCAGTTTTCCTGATTCACTTCCTGCCTGAACAGGTCCCAGAGGTTGAACTCCAGTGGTCAAGTCTGATGGAATCACACCCCAGCCTCCCTTTTAGCCTAGTTTAGGACAGGCTATGTTCTGCAGCCGAGGCTGTCAATTTCCCCATTCTTCCTCAGCCTTCCAAGTCGTATCTTGAAGTCCCCGAAGTCAAAAGCATCACTGAATCACTCCAGCTAGCCTAACTTTCCAATCCCCCTCCTGCAGTAGCTGGAATGACAGGCCTGCACTACCAGGCCTAGGATTTCTTTTTATTAAAGATCTATATGAGTATTTTGTCTGCATGTCTGTCTGTGCACCAGGTGTGTATGTGGTGCTCATTAAGGCCAGGAGAGGGTACGGGATTCCCTGAGACTGGAACCCTATCTAGGTACTGAGACTAGAACTTGGTCCTCTACAAGGACGAGGGCTCTTTACTATGGAGCCATCTCCATAGTCACCTCTCCCCTCCCCCACTCTTGAGACCAGGTCTCATGTAGCTCAGGGTGGCTTGTCCAGGCTGACTCTGAACTCTTGATCCTCTTGTGAGACAAAGTCACTGCATATCCTACTGTCTGAACTTACAGAAATCTGGCAGCAGCAGATAGTAAAGTACTTAGATAAAAACGTATACCACTGTGCCAGGACAGATGGCAGCTTTTCTTTTTACCAGAACCACTTTCTAGGGCTGTGTCTGTAGCTCACTTGGTCGAACTCTCACTTTCTAGACAGGGAGCCCTGGGGGAGGGGGCACTCTCAACCCTGTAAGCAAGCATGGCAGCACATACCTGTCATCCCGGGGGGGGGGGAGGGCAGTGGGTAAGGAGTTTAAGGTCAGCCTTGCTTACATACTGAGTTTGAGGCCAGCCTGGGCTACAGAGCTAGTTCCCGGACAACCTCTAAAGCCACAGAGAAACCCTGTCTCAAAAAAAAAAAAAAAAAAAAAAAAAAAAAAAAGAATTTCGGCCTGCTGTTGAAGATTCTTGCAGATGTCCAAATATTGGCTGCTGAAAGGGGCCCTGAGGTGGGGAAGCCTTAAGGATGAGTAGCAGAGAGCCAGGTGGAGAGCATGAGGAGACCCAGGTGTCAGAGGTGTGAGAACAAGGTTTAATGCTACACCCATCAATAAGGCAGCCCAAGTAAGTGTCCATCGTTTCAGAGGCTCCCCGGGAGGATGCAAGCTTCCGCAGTGTCTGGCTTCCTCAGTATTCTTCACTAGGCTAAGCATTTTCCGAGGCAGCAGGCTGTGACACCTGAGGGAGAGCACAACACAGCTCAGTACACAAGGAGCCAGCCCAGGGGCCCCTAGCTCTGTGAATGATGTCAAAAGTGTTACTACAGGTCCTTGTCTGTAGTAAGATGGGGACCAACAGGGATGTGCCTACCACAGAAACATGATGATGTGAGTTCCATTTCCAACAGACATGCAAAACCAAAACCAAAAAGAGACCTCTTTGGTTGGCACTGGAGATGGTTCAGCAGTGAAGCATGGCTGCTCTTGCAGAGGACCTGGTTTAGTTCCCAGCAGTGCACCTGCTCATAACCACCAGTGACTCCAGGTCCAAGGGTTCTTGTGCCCTCTTCTGGACTCTGTGGGCACTGCAGGTGTGTGTGTAGAAGGGCTAGAGAGATGGCCCAGTAAGAGGCTGCTGTGTAAGAATGAGGAACTGAGCTCAAATCTCTGATACCACAGAAGAGCCAGAGACTGCTCTGCATGCCTGTAGTCCCAGTACTCGGGAAGAGGTGGCAAGACAAACATCCCACCAAGTCACTGGCCTGCCAAATAATCTAACCAAAGGGACAGACTTCAGGTTCAGTGAGAGACCTTGTTCAAGGCAATAAAATGGAGACAGATAGGGGAAGTCATCATCTCAGTCCCTCCAACCTGTACACACACACACACACACACACACACACACACACGCGCGCGCGCGCTCGACAGGGCATGACTGGTCTACATAGGATTGTCTTGTGGACAGCAAGCTATCAACAAAAGCAAAATAACCAGTTTGGTGTGGTTTGATGAAGATACAGTATTGCCCACTCTCAGCACACCCTAAGAGCCCTGGGGCATGGGACAGTCTTAACTCTCCCATCTGTACAATGGGTGTCTGCATCCCACCAGACTCAGGCACCAGCTCTGTGAGCTAGGCCTAGCCAGTCTATCAGCTGAGGGTGTGTCCAGGACACAAAATCCTGGGTTTCCGGAAGATACAAGGTATCCCCCATTCTGCCTCCAGGTCACAGAAATCTCAACCCACAGCATTTAGGTCCAACACTCAAGACTCACCGGAGATCCTATGTGTGGCGGGTGTTTGCCTAATCATCCTTCTTAAACTTGCCATTGATGTAAGGCACCCAATCCAGGATCAGCCGCCAGTCTGTGGCCCACACCACCCCTACGGCGCCCACAGCACCCCACATGCTGGCCGTGGGGATCCTGGCGGGGACAGAGGCAGTTAGACATTGACCTAGCTTTTGAGAACCTTCTCCCATGACACACCATTAATGTCAATCAAGGACCCTCCCAGTGCCTGACTGAAAGGAACTTGCAAAGCTGAGGCAGGAAGGCTGCTTTGAATTCAAAACCAGCCTGAGAGGCTGGATCTAAGGGTACACACCTTTAATCCTGGGCCTTAGGAGGCAGAGGCAGGCAGATCTCTGATTTTGTGACCAGCCTGGTCTACAGAGTGAGTTCCAGGACAACCAGAGCTATTTCACAGAGAAACCCTGTCTCGAAAAAGACAGACAGACACAAGAACTGGGTGGCCATGAAACCTTTGTATGGGGTAACTTGGGACTAGTTCATCATAAGACCTTTCCCTTTTGGGCAACAGGCCCAGGCTGCTGGGAGTCCAGTTCACACACTGGTCCAGTTGGTTATGCCACTGCGACCATGTAAAGTTTGAAGAGAGCCTGTGAACCTCACTATGCAGATCACCAAGATAACAGCCACTCAGCTACACTGCTAGAAACTCCCCTCCCCTGTCCTCTACCAAGACACCAGGGTCACCTCCAAAATTCAAATACAAATAGCACCTCCTGCAGGTGTGCCCCAACACCTGGCCTCCCAACAGGTGTAGCAGTCACAAAACCTACACTGCCACCCACCAAGGTCACCAATGCCAACAGACTACTACCCTGTGGGGGTCAGGCATGGTGTAGCTATAGGCATTAATGCATTTATTATCTATCTAACAATCATCTATCCATGCATCTGTCAATCAATCAATCTATCATCTATTTATTGAGACAGGGCTCCATGTACCACCACCCTCTGGCTTGGAATTCACTATGTATCAGAGGATAGCCATGAATTCCTGGTTCTCCTGCCTGCGTATCCCCAATGCTATGCTGGTACTGGGGATGGCCCGTGAGACCTCAAAATTGTGTGAGGTATTGGAAGGGTGACTTTGAGACTGTAGTATTAATTTGATAACTTTTATAATATACACACTTTGTTGTGTGTTGAGATGGGATCTCTTATATCCAAAGCTGGCCTTGAATTCCTAATCCTCCTGCCTCCATCTCCTAAGTGCTGGGTCTGTACAACAATGCCAGGCACCTGTGCAGTATAAGTACTGGGTATTGGAACAGAGCCTTATGCATGCTGAATGAGCCACAGCTGTAGATTCAACACTTCTGATTGACAACTGTTTTAGAGGGCTGGGGGTGTCACTCAGTATGAGCTTGACAAAAGTCTTATGATACTGAATCTCATTCCCATTGTTGCAAAAAAGGCAAAAATTAAATTAAAAAAGTTTAAAGCTGGGAGGTGGGAACGGGAGAGATGGCTCAGTGGTTGGGAGTGCTCACTGCTGTTACAGAAGACCCATGTCTCCAGATACAAGGGATCCAACCCCTTCTGGACCCTTCGGGGACCTGCACTCACATGCACACAAACTCACACATACACATGTGAATGGAAACAAACCAAAACTTAAAAATGATCAAAAGAGGCTGGAGACATGGCTCCAGGATCCAGGTTCGATTCCCAGCACCCACATGGTGCTCACAGCCATCTCTAGTTCTGGGTCCAAGGGATCCGATGCCCTCTTCTCGCTCACTCACTACCAGGCTACACGGCACATAGATATGCATACAAACAGAACACTCAAGTAACTGTAGGTGACTGTGATTTCAGTCTTCAAGGAGTGTGAGACAAGGAGGATTGCTGGGAGTTCGAGGCCAACTTGATTTACAGAAACTGTTTAAAAGAATAAAAAAGATAAAATCAGAGTCGAAGTCTACAAGGTACTATAGGCTGAAAGTTGGAATCGTGAGCCTTGGGAGCCCAGGGCACCCACCCGTACCACACAGGGATCCTCTGGTCAGGCTGGGGGAAACTGAGGCTCCGAGCAGCTCAGACTGATCTCGAATACTCCAGACTCAGTTTCCCCCTCTGTATCCAGGGCACACGGGTGGGATGATAGGCGGCCTTCTCACCAGTTCTTGGCCAATTCCCGGTAACGCGGGCCCAGAAACCTGCTCAGCATTGCTGCAGGGTCTCAACACTTCAGGTCACCCTGTTCCCGCTGCCTTGGAGCACTGCGCATGTGCGGACCAACAGCGCATGTGCAAAGGGAAACGCTTCCGGCGGATTCCGAAAATTTTGACGTATACTTCCGGGGAGGGCCGACGGACGTTGCTAGACCCCGCCTCTGTTTTCAGGGAGTCCAGAGGCTGGGTGCTCAGAGGCTCTGAGCCTGAGCTATTAGTACATCCTGCGCTGTAGCCATGCGGCCTGAGGCTTCCGGCCCTGAGTACTAATTTGATAACTTTAATAATACACACCAGTGGTGCCTTACACCTTTAATCCGTGCACTCGGGAGACAGAGGAACGACAATCTCTGTGAGTTCGAGGCCAGCCTGGCCTACAGATTTCCAGGACAGCCAGGGCTACACAGAGAACACAGATAAACTCTGCTAAAACAAAACAAAACTGACACTTGGTTGTTTTTGAGATGGTGGTCTCCTATATCCAGGGGAGGCGTTGAATTCCTCATCCTCCTGCGCACCTCCTAAGTGCTGGGCTGCACCAGCAGGCCTGGTGTAGGGCCTTGAGCAGGCTAGACTAGAGCACGCTACCCACTGAGCCACAGCCCTGCCCTTGATCAAGAGAAATTAGAGGGAACAGGCTATACAGGCAAGGAACTCCAGAGGCCTGGAGGGGGAAAGCTTGGACCAGGGGTTGTCCCCACTCACCTTGGGTTCCCTTGGTTGGCACACAGGCCTCATTGGTCACACTTTCTGCTAAAGCCCATCGTGTCTGAACTCCCACAACAAGCACATTGAAACTTCTCAGTAAACTCCCTGACCATACCCCAGACTGGCAGAAAGGTGTGAACACCCTCAAATACATATTCCTCAGGAATCGTTCAGGGCTCTCCCACCAAGATGGAGGGACACAAAAGCCCATAGGAAGGTTCATCCTTTGTCCATTGGGCCCCACTTTTAAAGTGTCTAGTGGATAGCGACTGGCATGTGGGTACCTGAGGCTCTCCCTGGGGACTGTTCTGCCACAGTACTGGGATCTCAGGAGTGAGCCTTGCTACAGCTACAATTTTAATCCCAGATCTAGGAAGGCAGGCACAGGAGGCAAAGGCTCAATGCTGAACTACTCTGGCCTAATAAGTTTCAGGTACAAAGAAGGGAGCCAGGCAGTGGTGGCACATGCCTTTAACCCAGCACTTGGGAGACAGGAGGTGGTTCTTTGAGTTCAAGGCCAGCCTGGTCTACAGTTTCAGGACAGGCTCCAAAGCTACAGAGAAATCCTGTCTTGAAAAACATAAACTAAAAAGAAAACACCGGATGCTCTTGAAGAGGAACTGGGTTTGGTTCCCAGCACCCATATGGCTGCTCACAACTACTTGTAACTCCAATTCTGGAGTATATGACACCCTCTTTTGGCTGTCAGTCTGCACACACATGATGCACACATACATATACAAGCAAAATACCCATACATTTAAAATAAAAAAGTTGGGAGCTGGGCGTTAGTGGTGCACACCTTTAATCCCAGCACTTGGGAGCCAGAGGCAGGTGAATCTCTATGAGTTCCAGGCCAGCCTGGCATACAGAGTGAGTTCTGGTACAGGCTCCAAAGCTGCTACACAGAGAAACCCTGTCTTTAAAAAAAAAAAAAAAAAAAAAAAAAAAAAAAAGTTGGTGCCATGTTTTAACCCTAGCACTTGGGAGCCTGGCACATCTAGAACATCTGGAGATGAGTTCCAAGGACCAGGAACCAGGCCAAGTAGACATACAGGGCAACTTGAGAGGGAAGGGAAAGGGGGATGTAGAGGGAGAGATACCAACCAACCAGCTTGGTCTACAGAGTGAATTCCAGGATAGCCAGGGCTGTTACAGAGAAACCAGGTTCAAAAATAAGCACACACACACCCCCTCCAAACTAAACCCAATATGGTGGAGGGGCTCAGTGGTAAGGTGCCTGCTGGGCAGGCATGGGAACTTGACTTTTGATACCTGGCACCTATGTAAATGGATCCAGTGACAGCCCTCTACTCGAGCTCAGGGGGGGCTGGTATACAGGTGGTCCCGAATCCAGGGCTTTGTGCACATATATAAGTTTAACACTCTACAACTGAATTACAAACTCAATCCACCCTCCATGCTTTTGTAACTGGGCAGCAGTGTACCGAGGGTCTGAGGACAGGTGGATTGCTTCTGGATACCCCAGCAGATGGGGAACCTGGATGAGCCCACATTGCCTGCCAGTCTACCTTGAGAACTGGCCAAGGAAGCAGGAATGTGGCAGGGTAGTCTTGTGCTCCTCCAATCCAGCTATTCCTCTCGCAGACTTCCAGAGGTGCTGACTCCCCCGCTAAAGGTGTGAATGTCTGCCATAGTGTTACTGTTACCAGTCGTCCCCCCCCAGATCTCCCTCCTGGAGATTTGTGGGGTTTCCTAAGGGAGAGTAGTTTGTAGGGATGGAGGTCATCATGGAGCAGGTATGAACAGTGCTGTATGTAGGAGGATCTTTGATGGTCCCACCAATATCCTTCCCAGAAGCCAGGATACGAAGAATGGCGCCACCAGGATCTGAAAAATGGGAGGGGACCAAAGCCTGCACCATTTACTGAGGAGCCAGCTGCAGCCATGTGTGTGGTAGCTAAGTTACTGTTCGCTTTACATCTGGAAGTAACCAAAGCAGCTGGGCACACCTGTGGGGCCTCTCCTGACTGGACCCTACATTCTGGTAGCAGCCCACATATAATAGCATAGGAGGAAGCATTAGCTCTTTGCCTGCTTGCCCTCACTCTCGCTGGCAGGTGCATCTACCCTGCTGCTGAGACATCCCTTCACTGGTGTTAGAGCCCACTTCTTCAGGATTCCAGTGCAGACTGAAAATCAACAGTTCCTCAGGAACCCTCCAGGACTCAGTGCTGGATTGGGACTGCTGAAACACTCACTTCATGGAGACATCACAGCCCATAAGCTATGCTAATACCCCTACCCACATATGCAGGCATGTATCTGTATATATTCAGACCCCTACAACTTGTCATTCAAGCATTCAGGGCAGTGAGAAAAAAAAAAAAGAGCAGAGTTCATGTCCTGTGGGGGCAACTGGTCTGGCTGTTTCGTAAGAGGCAAGACTGGTTCAGCTGTTGGACTCATGCCAGGAAGACCCTGGGTTCATGTGCAGTGCAAACAGTGAGGGAACCCTGAACACCCAGACTCTGTCAGGCTTTAGGGTAGGTGTGGCCCTTAGATCAACACTGGGTCTTTTGAATGCTACTTTAATAACCTTATAGACCATGAAATACGACGCTGAGTTCTAGAAACAGCAACAGACAGGAGACTTTTATACAAAAATTTGTTGCTTACAAAACATACGCAAAAGAAAGCTTAAAAAAAAAAAAAAAAAACAAAAACAAAAAACCCCCAAAAAACAGACACAGAAGGCCTCATTCTTGCTAAGTTTTGTCTACATTTAAAAAAAAAAAAAAATCTGATAACTAATGTTCTTTTATTCTCCTTAAAAAAAATATGCTTAGGCACGGTGTGCTGGTGGCTCTCAACCAGAAGCCAGTCCCCGCCACCCCTCACCAGGGTGCGGTCCCATTCTCCCGTCTTCCACAGTTAAGGCATCTTTTTTTCTTTTCTGAAAAGTGAGCATGCTGCTTATTTCCAGTTTCGGTTAATCGAGGGGGGGAGCTCCCTTCAGCTTGGTCACTGGGGTCAGGACACAGGGCTGTCACTGAGCCTTGAGGCCCCCTGAGGCCCTGCAGTGTTTCTGGAGCCTGAGCCTTGGGCCAGGGTCATCCTGGGAGTACCCTGGGAAGCTTGTGGTGGTCCCTGGTCCCACGGAGACCCATGTGATCACAGGTGCCCGGGCGGGTTGTGGGCCTCACCCAGGCCAGGGTGGGCAGCCGACAGCGCCAGCTGGGGATCTCCGACCACACCAGACACCTTCTCCTCCTCCCGCCGCTTCAAGCAGGCCGCTTTGGGATTCAGGTTGCGCTCTAGAGGAAGTGGGGGAGGAGAGTGCAGTGGGAAACTGTCCCCATTTGGGAATAGGGGTTGGGACTGCTGTGGCCACCCCTGGCCAGCAACAGGCCGGGGCAGAGCAGGGTGGGGCGGGAGCAGCCTACCTCGCACCTGCTGCTCCAGGCCCAGGATAACCTGCACTGCCTGCTGCAGGATCAGCAGCTTGGTCTGCGCCTTATCCGACTTGAGGTGCAGCTGGCACATGCGGCCCAGCTCCCGGAAGGCCTCGTTAATGTCCCGCACTCGCACCCGCTCCCGTGCGTTATTGGCCATGCGCCTCTCCCGGTCCCTCAGGTCCTTCTCCTCCAGGGACAGCACCTCGTCCGTACTGCTGGGTCACAGCACCGAGCCTCCATCAGGGGGGCCCGGGCCATTTCCTGCTATGTGCTAGTGTGTGACAAGGTGGGTGGCAGCCAATGTGGGGTGTGTGCATGATAGACGAGTGATGGGTGGCAGCCCTGCAGTGTGGACAACGGTGCCCTGTGCAGGTGACCCATGTCTCCGGGAAGCCGGGTGGTCACTCTGGGAAGAACAGAGGCCTCACTGTCCTCTAACACATGTGAAGACATGTGGGACCTTACAAGGCAGTGGATTCTTAGTCATCCCTGTCCCTGCTCATGGCTCAGGGTGACAGCACTGAGGGCTGCACTGGCCCGCAAAGCTGAGGCCTGGTCCGAGGCAGGGCTCATGGGAGCAAACAGCACTCAGATTTGAACCCCAGACCTCAGAGCCAGGCCACCCTAGCTAGGCCAAGAGCATTGACTCCCAGGCCCAGGGGCTATCTCCTCCACTGTGATGGACACCCATGCAGTGGCTCCAGATAACTGAATACAAGGCCCTGTCTATGGCCTAAAGCCTAAAGCTTCCTGATAGGAATCACCTGCTGGCATAGGTTCCCTCACCCTGTGCCTCAGTTTCCTCCCTGGAAGAGTAGGTGGCAGCCAATGTCCTGGCACCTAGGCTGTGAAGAAGCCTGACACCACACCCTTTGCTACCCATGTTCTCTGCTGCCCTTGGATGGACTAGATTCCTCTGGGTGGCGGCAATGGCCCCAGACCTCAGGACAAGCGCACAGACCAAACTGCATGTGGGCACCAGAGGCTGTGCCCAGTGGACACTTCTCTTCCCCCGAGGCCATGCAGAGCCTTATGGGACAAAAGGCCCCTAGGTGACAGTGCAGCCAGCCCTGTCCACAGGGCTGCAGGTGCGAGGTGAAGGGCGGCAGGTGGCAAGCGAAGGCAGGGGATGGATAGGGTAAAGGGAATAGTGTGAAAGACAGAGCAGATAAGGCAGACTCTGGGACACAAGGTGGGCCACACACTCTGCCACCACAGACAGAGCCCTTGGACAGCTGGGCAGAGCCCACCATGCTGCAGGAGAGAAAGGGTTAATGGCAGGCAGGCCATGTGGAGCACAGGTTAAGGAAGCAGTGGGGTCCAAGCTGGAGTCCTCCCTCACCAGTCCTGGGGCAGGTGGATTAATACCATCTTGGATGGAGAAATCGAGCCCGGGAGTAGCTCTGAGGGGTGGGTTGGGGCCCTGCCAGGGTGAATAGTGATGGAGGCTCACATACCAGCTAGCATCTCTGGGTTTGTTTTTTAGGGGGGGGTGGCATTGCCCCTAACAGCCAGGCTGAGCTAGCAAGAGCCTGGGGATGGAACAGTCTTGGGAGTCCTCAGGCCAGTGGGGCCAGGGTGGCAGAGTCCAGACCTGTCAGAGACTGTCCTCAAGGCCAGAAAGGTAGAAAGTCAGTCAGTCAGTATAGGGAAGGAGACAGTAGGTATGGAAGATGGTCAGTATGGGGACAGTCTACTTGGATGGCCAGCAGAAAGGAACTACCTGTCATGGGACATCAGTGCAGGGACAGGGTCCGTGTAGGGGACAGTCAGTGTGGGAACAGTCAGTAATGGTGACTGGTATTAGGAAAATCAGCATGGGAAATACTCCATGTGAGGAACAGTCAGTATGGGAGCAGCCGATATCAAAGAGTTGTGATGTCAACAGGTTATTATCAGTGTGGATGGGGTCAGGAGGTGTGGATAAAGTTGGTGTGAATGGAGTCAGCATGGGTCAGTCTAGTCAGTGTGAATGAACTAGGTCAGTGTGGATGGAGTCAATGTGAACAAGCTCAGGCAGTGTGGATGGAATCAGTGTGAACGAGCTCAGTGTGGATGGGGTCAGTGTGAACGAGCTCAGGCAGTGTGGATGGGGTCAGTGTGAACGAGTTCAGTCAGTGTGAATGGGGTCAGTGTGAACAAGCTCAGTCAGTGTGGATGGAATCAGTGTGGATGGGGTCAGTGTGAACGGGGTCAGTGTGAATGAGCTCAGTCAGTGTGGACGGGGTCATTGTGGGGCAGTGAGTGTGGGGCGGTCAGCATGGAGGTGAGGGCTGATTATTAGCAACAGTGTGGAGAACAAAGCAGGGACAGTCAGTTCAGGAAGTCAGTACAGGGAACAGCGAGTGCAGGGAACCCTGTCTGGGGACCAGAAGGTGCAAGAGTAAGGGACAGTCACTGTGCACTCTGGCTAGGGCAGCAGGGAGGGGAGTGTCGCGGAGGCGCGGGGCGCGGGCCGCCCACTGACCTCGCACCTGCTGCTCCAGGCTGAGGATGACGGCCACGGCCTGGTGCAGGATGAGCAGTTTGGTCTGCGGCTTCTCACTGCTGAGGTGCAGCTGGCACATGCGGCCCAGCTCCTTAAAGGCCTCATTGATGTCGCGGACCCGCAGGCGCTCGCGGGCATTATTGGCCACCCGGCGCTCCTTCTCCCGCTCGGCCTTCTGCTCTGGGGGGAGAAGGTCGTCCTCGTCCTCGTCTGGGCTACGGTGGAGGGGAGTCGGGGACCAGAGGGAGATAGTGAGGTGATGTGGTGGCCTACAGGGCCTCCTGGGGTCTGTGTGCATGTGTGATGTGTGTGAGCATGTGGCATGTAATGTGTGCGTGCATGGCCTGAGGGGAGGGGTTTGGCACCTGGTGCGCGTGCGTGCAGCCTTCAGGTCCTTCTTATCCTCCTCAGCGTCTGCCACTGATGCATTCTCCTCATCATCTTTCTCCTCCCGCTTGATCTCGCTGGCGCCCGCTGCAGCACCTGCCCTTCCGAGTCCTGTAACAAGTCTGAGATGAAGGGTGGCAGTAGCCACCAAGTATACCTGTGGGGCCCCTTGCCAGGGCACAGCTTCATTTGCGGGGAGACGAAGATGAAAAATAAAACAAGGCCATCAGGACTGCTCCTCAGGCCAAGATTAGAGGCACTCCTCCCCACTCAAGTTCTCTGCCTGCTGCTAACCAGACTAGAATCCTGCCTCACACCACTCAGCAACTGGAGACAGAAACCTGCACGGTTTTATTAGCACACATTCACAACTTTGACAACTAGTGGGACAAACCCTGCTGTAAATTCTGGGGCAGGGAATGAGTTTGCGAAATGCTACAAGAGGAACCAGAGAATGTACACCCATCACACCAGCATGTGGAAGCTGAGGGATAAGGATTTTCAAGTTCAAGACCAGCCTGTATTATAGTGAGGTTCCTTAATAACAAAAACTAAAATCCTAACCCTGATGTGGTGGCACATGATGTCATCCCAGCATTTGGGATGCCTCAAAAAGAGACCGTCATCTCAGCTACACAAAACGCTGGTGTGGAAGCAGCCTGGGGACAACAAGCCAGCTTAGGAGAGGCTGAGGGCAAAAACCATTCACAGTTGACAGCTAGGAGTGGGTCTTCCTCTGTGGGATGTCACCCCTAGCCTCACCCACTCCATACCCCAGCCCTTAACACTGGCAACATTATCCCTACGGCCACCAGAAGGCACCTGTCAGTTCCAAGGCGGGACATTTCTGCCCTGTCCTCCACTGGCCGAATGCTCCCTACAGCCCAAAGGGTCCCTTGTCTGCTGACCTAGCCTTCGTTGTCCTCCATCTCTCTTGTTCTCCCTACAAGGGATCAGCTCTGCCTCCAACCCATTAGGCTCCACCCTGTCCCAGGCTTCTGCACAGGGCCCTCTTGCTGGAGCCTCCTCTCCAGGTTACTTCCTAGACTAAGCACAGCACGGTCACCCTCTCTATTGTCACCCACCCCAATTCCCTTCCACACTTGCCCTAAACTACAGCCCGCTGCCCCTAATATCCTCCAAAACTGCTCCAAGGGAATTGCCACCACCACCCTGCTCACACCCACTATGGAAACCACACCTATCACAGGCCCTCATCTGAGAAGCAGGCACCTCCTGCCAAAGGTATCGGCCTGGCCCTGCTGGGATAGCGGGCTCCACCCTGTGTGCCTCAGTGTCCCCAGACTGAATCAGGAAGCAATAGTCCCAAGCTTACAGGCTGAAGTGAAGATCTGAAACAGAGTAGACAGCCTGATTGCTCTTGGCCTCTTGGTGGCAAATGACAGTCTGTGTGTGTGCATGTGTGTGATTGCACATGTGTGCATATAGGAGTAAGAACAGAGACCAGAGAAAACCGTCCATCAAGTGTCCCACTCCCGAGATGACTCTCACTGAACTTGGAGCTCACTGTTTTCCAGCTAAGCTTCCCTTATTCCCATCCCCCGCAAGGAACCTCCTGCCTCCTCAGTGCTGGGCTACAAGATATACACTCATGTGAAAAGCACCAACTGAACCATGTCCCCAACACTGTGGCCTTTTGTTTTGAGGCACAGGCTCTCATGAACCTGGGGTTTGCCAACTGCAACTTGCTGGCCAGTGAGGTAGCCTGTTTCTGCTTCCCCAGCGCAGGAGGCCCAGGCACACACCACCGTGTATCCAGTTCAGGTCCACAGGCTTCAGAGGTACAGACTGAGTCACCCCTCCAGCCTCTAGGAACAGCAATTCTGTCCTTCCCTTTTCATCGATCAGGCCCAAAAAGACCTTCAGCTTCCCTCTGAGACTTACCGCTGTAAGAGTCAGGTGGCCTCTGCGAGAGGTCAGGGAGGGAGCTGGGCTGGCTGGGGAGGCTGGCATGGTTATGCAAAAGACTGGCACCACTGGTGAGGCCATCCTCAGGGTGGCCTCCACCAACCTAACAACGAGAGGGGCACATCAGGGTGGCTAGAGTCCCTATGTGCCACCCCCATCTGGTCTCAGGCTGATACTCACCAGGCCAGTATGCCGCCCTCCCAGTGGCATGGGGCCTGGGAAACTTGTGGTCAGTGCCCCATGGCCAGGCAGAAGTCCATGGAGATCACTAGCAGTGCCCACAGCGTGGCTTCGAAGGACATGGATGGCCTCATCCAAGCGATCCTCCATTTTGCTCTGCTGTTAGGGTGGGTAGAAAAGGTACTCAGAGGTGCATGCGCGCACGCACGCACACACGCACGCACACATGCACACTCTCACTCTGCATGTGGGGTCTTCCTCATGGTCCACTATGAACTTAAACTTGTAATCCCCCTGACTTATTCCTGAAAACCCTTCAACTCCTCCTCATCCTCTGGCTTCCACCTCCCCAGTGCAGAGATGACATGTGGGCTCTATCACAGCCAGGAACCATAGTGCCAGTAGGTAAGCACTGCCCACTGAGCCCTGGCAGGAGACTCTTCCTGCCCCTGACTCAGACTTGTGGTTCCCCAAACTCTCCTTGAGCTGCCCCTGAGACAATGAGTTGACTGCTCTCCCTGAAGGGCTCCGAATTCGATTATGTGGTGATGGGCTTGACTGACACTTGGGTGTCTGGCCAGCAGGGAGGGGACACTCACCAGGCCATGGAGACCCCCTTCATAGCCGGGAGATAAGGCACTAGGCGCTCCTGCCCTGGGCCACTGTGATGTCCCTGGAGGGGAAGGAAAGACATGAGGGAAGACAGGCAGTGGGGACAGGGAGGGAAGGTCACCCGTAGCTGGATGCATTCAGAAATGCCTGACACAGCCACTCAGATACCAGACACCGCAAACCCCACCTCTTTTCACAGCTTCAGGGGGTACAGCAGGGACCTCAAGGACAGTTCCTCTCTGTCCCCTCCACACCTGGGAACACTGCTCTGAACTCAAGCTAAGGGCAGGTGGTTGGTGCCAGAGGACAGGCCAAGCTGTGGACCGGTGTGGAACTCACTCTGCAAACCAGGCTGGCCTCTAACTCACAGATATACCTGCTTCTGCCTCCTGAGTGCTAGATCAAGACATGCACCACACCAGGCAAAGTGGTTTGTTTTTAACCCCAACCTCCCTGGACTTGTAGAGTCTTCCAGCTCCCACTTTCCCTCACCCCTAACGGATGCCCTGGCACCACCTACCCTGAAGTGGTGTGTTTCACCAGAGCAGAGCCTGAGGTCAACAATCAGATCTAATGGTTAGTAAATAGACAAGCAGCAGGTGGAAGCCCACCTCTTCCTCATGCCACCTCACCTCCTGGCTAGGACTACAGACTACAGACTGGGGACAGTCCTGAGGTCACTCATGGTTTCCATGCCCATCCCATACACACCTGGCAGGCCCTGGGGTGAACCCACAGGTGTCGAGGGGCTAGGCGAGAAATTATTGCTGGAGTGATCTGGGGAGTAGATCTGCAGTGGTGGGGACAGAGGGATGGGCAGTCAGGGTCACCATGAGGCTATCAGAAGCCCCGCTATCCACCACCAGCCCAGGACCCTGCTCACCGAGGCCAGTGCCTTCCCAAGGGCATCTCCTGAGCTGCTGGCTGTAGTCCCTCGGGTGCCTGTTGGGGGAGACAGGTGAGCCCAGTGCTGGGACCCTCCCTTTTAGGACACCTGCCTTCTCTAGTGTCAGCACCGCAGAAGCAGTGACCAGTGTCCAAGTCCTGCCCAATACACCTACTCCCCAGGTGGACAAGGTTTCCTCTTTCTGCCTCAGTTTCCCCCAGAGTGAGGCGGAAGACCTGCTTTTCATGGGGTCTGTTCCTGATAAAGGCCAGGGCCAACCTAGGTGGCTCAAGGAGGGATTACGCCCTCTAGCTCTCCATGGATCCCCGATGCCCACCCAGGCCTAGGAAACCCTAGGACCTCACCCATGAGGCTGTCAGCCCCGCTCACAGGTGGCGTGTGGCCAGAAGTCCCACCGTAAGTGCCAGGGGCAGATGAGAAGCTGGACACAGCTGGAAGTGTGCCATTGACCTCAGATCCATGCAGCTGGTAGCTCTGAGAAGACAATTAGTAGATGAGAGGCAGGGTGACGCTTAAGGGGTGAGCAGGACCAGGCAGGTGTTGGCATCATCCAGGATCCCCCGCCACCTCTGACCACAGCACCTACCATGCGTTCCTGCTGCTGGAGACCCCCAAAGGCACCACTGCCCACAGAACTGCTGCCCGGTGCAAGGGGCAGAGGGGATGAGCCATCACCTAACATGGGCCCAAAGCCTGCTTGACTGGGGGGACTCCACAGCTCCGCCGACGGGTGCAAGCTGCCATCTGTGTGGAAGAGGATGGTGAGGCTATGTCCCCACCCCTGCAGAGAGCACCGGGGAACCCCACGCACCTGCCACGTAGAAAGGGGAGGGGTAGGCGCTGCTGGGGGTCTTGGCGGAGGGGTAGGCTACAGCGTCCCTGCTGTAGCTGTCACCTGAGCTGGGTGGATACACCTGTGACAGGATGACACAGTTAGAGAGGAGCTGTGAGGGACAGATCCTGCCAGCCTCACCCTCCCAAAACTCCCTGTCCTTCTGGGGACATAGGATCCTAAGCCACAGGGGAAGTGTCCCAGCATCGCATCTGGTTGCCCGGCAGCACTGAAGGTGCAGAGGGAACAACCAACAGCATCATCAACTCTGACTAGGTAGCACTGGCTGCAGCTGACAGCCTGAAGAAACATGTAGGGGTATACCAAAAATGTCTGCCCTAGCAGAGGACTCAGGAGGGGATAGGCTGTTCATGCCTGCCCAGGCAGGGAAGCGGGCAGCAAGTCAAAGCTGGTTGCTGGCGTAATGTCCATTTAGCTTAACTGGATTCTGTTGGCCATTTTCTCTGACCTTAGCTCTATTTCAATATATATGTTATTAGGGAGCCTTGGCCTATGCCCTTCACCATTGCCCACCCCAGTACTGACATCAAAGGAAATTATAGGGTTTTGGGGGCACAGAGGAAGCAGGGGCTTGAGGCTTTAGTATACAAAGTGCACTGTTAGCTAGGCCAGCCTAGACCTTGAAACCTTACCTCCCAAGTGCTAGGGGAGACGGCCAGGCTAGAGAATCCAGCACACTGCCTTTCTTAATGTGATTAAATCACAGGCACATGGCACCACGAACCACTGAGGGCCAGCCACCATCTGCCAACGTGGGCAACCCGCCAAACATCAAGCCAGTGGGCGGGAACACTCCCAGCCTTGGCAGGTGGGTGTGGCTGGGGAATAGGTAGGACCTCGCTGGCCCAGCTACCAGGGCCCCCATCACCACCCCCCAACTCCCTACCATTAAAGGTAACAGCCACAAAAACCCACTCTTAAAGCAAGAGGGAGTGAGATAGACCCAATGAAGGACTTCCCTAGGGAAGAGGGGGCATGCTCAGTTCACATATTATTAGCCCCCAAAGCCTGATCAACTTTGGGATGTGACCACAGCTTCTGGCATTGAAAACCAAAGCAAGCCGTGGAGACAGGAGGTGCCAGAGCGGCCCCATACTCACGGAGGAGGGCAGACCAGGTGGAACCTTCCGGACCTTCTTGGGCTGTGTATCTGCTGGGGGTAAGAGCAGGAGGAGGATGGGTAAAATGCCCTCTCTACATTTCCTCATGTGGACCCTGCCAGGCAGGGGTCAGTACCCAGGAGTACCACACTCCTGACACTTGAGGGGCCTCATTAGCACAGCCATGAAAGCACGTATTTCATCCCAGCACACGGGAGGTAGAAGCAGGCAGATCTCTGTGAGTTCAAGGCCAGCCTGGTCTACAGAGCGAGTCCCTGGGACTCCGGCGGAGGGGCTGTGCACAGGGGTCAGGACAGCCTAACAGCCCTAGGGTCAGCACTCCCTGTAGGCACCCAGTCCAGAAATCAGTCTCTGCCACAACCACCCTCACTGTATCCATGTCCCCAGCACCAACTCACCCAGGCCACTGTCTGCAGCTCTCCGCCGAGGGTTGCTGGGGTATGAGGGGTAATACTGGGAGCCGCTCTTGACACCCGATGGAGACAGTGGCCCAGAGCTGCTAAGGCCCAGCTCACCCGGTAGGAAGCCAGCCTGGGTAATGGGGACACCAGGAAGCTGGGGTTGATGTCTAAACCCAGGCTTCTCTGTTTGTAGACCCTTCCAGCTGTGAAGATCAACGCCACAAGGGCTGGGCCAGGCCCCCAAGCCTCACTGTTACACAGCACCCAGGACACACCTTTCCTCAACCATCATGCTCAGTCCCACAGCCACCTCTCACCTCGGGGCACAGAAGCCCACACTGGGGTCCACATTCCTGACAGTGGACCCCAGTGTAAGCAGCTGAGTGGGGGCTTTGAGACCCGTACGCCGTACTCTGCCCAGTTCTGCTCTTACTGAGCAGCTCAGGTAACAACCACAGCTCCCATGACATAGTCTCAACCCAAGGGTCATCTTAGAGGTCAGGCCAACTCTGCCCTTCTGCCTCAGTTACCTGACTCAGTGCACTAACACTGGTGTCTCTCCCGAAGGTGGCATAGGCACTCCGCTCGCTGCCTTTGCCTGCAAGGGACAGAAGGAAGTCACAAGGAGGGTCTCTCAGACAGTAGAGGGGTTACACATGGTGGGCCTGCTGCCCGGTCCCCCTGGATACAGGATAGGGGACAAGGGAACCAACTGATCTGCACACTTCGCTATTTTTTTTATATTTAAGACTGAGTCATCATTTTATGTGCTTGAGTGTTTTGCCTGCGAGTATGTTTGTGCGCCACATATGTGCCTGGAAGAGGATATCAGATTCCTTGGGACTGGAGTCATGAATGCTGTAAGCCACTATGTAGGTACCTGAACTGAACCTAGGTCCTTTGCAAGAGTAGTAAGTGCTCATAACCACTGAGCTGTCTCTCCACCTGATTTGCTTTGAGGCAGGGTCTCATGTAGCCTGGCTAGCCCTGACTTCCAAATCGTCCTGCTTCAGCCTCCTGAGCAGCTGGATTCTGAGGGCTACTAACCCTGCCAGCCCTCAGTGCTCAGGGTCCACCCTGGGCAATGGGGGTGGGGAGGACACAGCTGGCCTCTGTGGGAACTGCCCTGTCACCCTATCAGGCAGGACACCTGAGGAAGAGGCAGGAGAAGGAAGCCTAAAAGGGAACATGCACCCCACAACTGCAGAGGCCACTTCGGGCCATGGTGGAAGGAGGGGTCAGTGCTGACCAGTTCCGGACTCTAGAACAGATTTAACTCTTGAGTTAAAGCAACAACCTTCATGATCTTTCAGTCCCCGGTTCACAGCCACCCACGTGGGAAGTTCTGGTACACCGCCTGCCTAGATTACCAGGCTGGTCAAAGGCCAGGGTTACTGATGTGATGGCTGGTGCTCTACTACCCTGTTGTGCCCCGAGGCCCTCTTGGGGTCACCACAGAGTATCCACACTTACCTCCAAGCCCAGGCCCTAAGAATGTGGAAGAAGACAGGCTGTTGTGGGACTCACTGAAGTGGGCGCCTTCACTGTACGTCTAGGGGAGACAGGCAGGGTAAGACACTAGTGACTGAGTGCAATTGTCCCGGAGGGTGACCAGAGGCTGTTTCCTCATCCCCTGCCCAGGGAAGGACAACCAGGGACCTGGGCCTCATAAAGGCATCTCACCCGACTGGGGTCGAAGGAAGAACTGTTCTGATCATTGTTGCCCCAGGAACCTGAGCTGGGTCGGTCCTCAAGTCCTGTAGGAGGTAAAGGGAGCCCAGTTCTCAGGGGACCTAGAAGGCTTTGGGATCCCTTTCACCTAGATATTCCTACCAGCAATAAGAGCAGACCCCTCTATCCTACACGGCCTGGGACTGTTCCTACAAAGGCTGCTATAGCTCTTATGTGACTACCAGCTGTCTCTCTGGCAGACTTTTACTCATCTGTCAAAACCTCAGCTACGGTCCCATGGCCAGGCCTCTCATTTAGGCCTATGTCTGATCACACAGGACTGGGTATCTGAGTCAGAAATGGTTGACAAAAGTTCACAGTGCCCCGGGACTTCAGAAGTAGAGTCTCCCTGGTAAGGCTGACTCGCTCAGTGGGTAAGGCAGAGACACACCTAGCTCCTGCAGCCTCAGAGGAAGGTCAAGGGTTTATGTGGTAAGGCAGGGGTTAACAAGCCTGGAAACCAGAGGACCTTGTCCTGGGGGTGGAGTAAAGCAGGGCTGGGCCCTTATCTCCACCAACACTCCTCATAGGCAGCTAACGGCTATGCCCATAGAATAGTCTCCACCTGCAGCAAATTCACTCCTCCCTGGCACCCTGGTCCCTGTCCCCATACACAGGGACCACAGGGTCCAACCTTGATTCCACCTTCCAACTTGGCTACATGGCCATGCGTGTACTTCAGTTTCCCTACTGGACTGACAAGCAGGCTCAGGACTGAAGTGTCCATGTCCACATTCAAAACTCCAAGGGAAGAGGCTCTGGTATTCAGCCTCCCCTCCGCACCCCATGAATCCCCTTATGCCACCCAGCTTCACACCAGAAACTTTCAAGCCCCAGAGGCTTTATTATGGCCTTTGTGCTCATCATCCCCACCCTGGAGAACAGTGTTTAATTGCAGTCTAATTTGCATAGTTATGCATATTAATCCCACGACGATATGAATATTCATTCCCCTACCCCTTCCTGTTTCCTGATAAAGTTCCAGAGTATTGGCAGTGGGGGGCTGGGGTGCAGCCCTAGGGGCTCCAGGAAGCCCTCCAACATCAGGTGTAGTCTATGAATGTCCACACCCCAAATTTTTTAGCTTGTGGTGAGAGTGGGGATGTTGGGCAGCTAGCACCTACACTGTTTTGGTCCTATCAACTCTCACTCAGCACAAACCCCAGAGATATACAGGATGCTTGCTCTAGAAGCCCAGACAGGGCCTGGGTGACACCTGAACAGTGGGTGACCCCAGCAAAGTGTCGTATCCCCCAGAACCTGGCAATGTGGAGGACTCCCCAAGACCCTCCCAGCACAGAGCCTGTCTTCCCTTCTATAAATGACAACTCAGGAGGTTCCTCCTCCACCCCATTAATACAGTTATTAAAATCACCCCACCGATAAATTATGCATTGTAATAACCCCAACATGAATATTCATAGTTCGATTTCACTTGCATACTAATTAAAACATTCTAATAGATGTCGATGTCAGGCTACCCCCCACCCCCGCCCTTTCAGTTTCTCCTCCTGTCCCTCAAGGTGAAGCACCAAGAAACAGGCACCTCCACCCAGAGCTTGGCTCAATCAAGCTCAGCCAACTTAGGACAAGGCCCATATTTGGAGTTTTATTCTTTTACAGGGACAATTCACACTTTTTGGCTTGCTTTTATAAATAAAGTTTACTGGCACACAGCTCTCCTGTTCATGTGCTGCCCACAGCTGCACTCACGACGGGGCTTATACATTATTTGGTCACCTGGAAGCCCAGCCCAGCAGGAGGAGCAGCCTACAGCATGGCCCAGCACCAATCCACATGAGCCTTCTAATCAGGTACATGGATCAACACACCTACCCCAAGCATCTCTCGCCCTCACTTTCACTGCCCACTCAACAGGGATGATGTCAGCCAATGCAGCCAGTGTTAGGGACATATCCACCCAAGGTCCAGTTGACACTGTCCAGAGCAAGTATGACAAAGCTCACAAACAGAACCTGCCTTCCCTCCTACTAGCTCTACCCAGAACAACGCAAGGCAAAGCCCTGAGAGAGAAAACAAGTTTGAGACCAGCCTAGTTTCCATAACACACCTCAAAAGAACCAAAAGAAGGGCTAAGTTCAATTCCCAGCACCCACATGGAGGCTTGACACTGGCCACAATTCCAGTTACAGGAATTCCCAGGTCTCTGGCTTTTGGCTTCCTATCATACTGCATATTTCCACATAGGTAACACACACATAACTGAAAAATAGTAAAAGTAAACAAAACAAAAAGAAAACAATATGGTTGCATGACTAAGTTAGCTGTGATACAAAGAAGAAAATTCAGTTGAGAACAACATAGCTGAGAATTCTAGGCGGGGCTCTACCCTGACCACACCCCCAGCTCCTTGCTGGGATTCTAGACAAGGCTCCACCCCTGACTACACCCCCAGCCCCTCACTGGGGTTCCACCCTGACCACACCCAAGTTTGCCCCTCAAAGTCAAGCCTGCATCTGCCTAACATGCTTGAAGGACTGGATTCCATCCTAACACACCTTCCCTTACCAAATCAAAAAAGATTAGTGAACTTGTGGATTCTAAAACTCCTGAACTCCAGGAAAAAAAGATAAGAACTTTTAAAAGAGGAATTAAGATCAAAGTAGAAAGGAGTCAATGGCAAATATTGATTCTCAAGGAGAAGATTCCACAGCAAAATCAACACAACAGATTCAGGAGGCAGCCAAGGACGAAGGGACAGAGGTGGGAAGGCAACTTTATAGGCAGCCGTGGGACACTGGAAACTGGAGGGATGGCCCTCCCACACTTCTCCTAAATGACAGTGGGCAAGTGGAGGGGTTAGCACACAGCCTTTGAGTGGGCTGGCTGACCGTGTATGGGTGACAGGACAGGCAGGGCAGGCTTGCGATACAGCAAAGCTGGCCAATCAGATCAGGGGATGCCAGAAACTGAGAGGCAGAGAGGCGAGGATGCTGGGGAGATGGTCTTTTTGGGAAGTGTGTGCTACAGAAGCATAAGGACCTGAGTTCAAGTCCCAGGGCCCAGGTAAAAAGGCAGGCACAGTGCTATACACAAGTCGGGACCCTGGCACTGGTACTGGTAGAGACAGGAAGACCCTGGGGCTCACTGGCTGGCCAGCTTAGCTGGATAGAGGAGCAGGTGTACAGAGAGACCCTGTTTCAAAAAACACAGTGAGGCTGGGCAGTGGTGGCACACACCTTTCAATCCCAGCACTCCAAGGCAGAGGCAGGTGGATCTCTGAGGTCCAGGCCAGCCAGGTACCAGTGGTAATTAAGGAAAAGACAAATGCCAATTTCCAGTGTGCACATAACTATGCTTCTCTAGGACTGAATGTGAGTCTGGTACCCAACGGTCTGAGAATGTGGGTGAGGGCAGGTCTGGAGGGTGAGACACGCTAGAAAGAAACCATAAAAACCAGTGGGTGATATCTTCAAGGTCCTGTCCTGCCAGGCCAGCCTTGCAGGGAAAGGGCCATCAGCCTATGCCATGCCCAAAAGAATCCACCTCTAGATCCCAGAGCAGGCCTTGGTGACGAAGGAAAGAGTCTGGACAACTGTGCTGACAACTCCACTCCAACCTCACAGTAGCTGCCAAACTGACTTAAACCTCCCACACCCATCCTGGGCCAGAAGCCTGGGCACTTCGGATTGGGGGCTGCTTCCGGGGTGATGGAAGCCTGTGGGGATTTCCAGGTCTTTAGGAGTGCCCAGATGGCTCTCCATCCACTTCCTCAGGCTGAGGGGAAGACCAGCAGGGTAGTGACTGATGGTCTTGCTTTTGAGTGGGGTAAGCAAGAGCTACCCACACCAGCTTCCCAAATGTGTCCCCCACATAGCCCAGAACGACCCTTGTTTAATGAAAGCCAGCCAACTTCAACCATCCATCCATGTCAGCTCAGGTCTATGAGATGTTTCTCCTCTGAGACCTCAGATGTCTTGGGTCCTAGAAGTCCCCTGTCCCTGTGGTCCCATCATCCAGGCTAGACCATGTATATACCAAGCACATAATATTTGTTCAGAATACAATCACTGGAGAAGGCTAGGCCCTACTGTGGACCTTGTAGTTGAAACAGAAAAGACACAAGAGGCCTGGGCTTCAGTCAGCCCAACTCAATGGGCTCTAAGCAACCACACTCGGTGGGAGGAAATACTACTGTCCACAGGGCCGTCCATCAGACCTCCTAACATCCACACAAACACATCCCCCATGCCCTTCAATCCTACCTGTGCCTGCAAACTGGGTTCCGGCCAGGGAGGCAGGCCGGCCCTTCCCGTTAGCCACAGGGAGCGGAAACATCTGTGGGGACAGAGGAGAGCGGTGAGTGGTAGAGTAGTTTGGGGGTGGCAGGGGCGTCCATCTGGAGAGGCTGGGAGCACCAGACTGCTATGGTCAGGGTGACCCCAGTGGCAGGTCATGCTTGGAAGCAAACAACCACACACTCAGCCCCAAGCTGAAATACCCAGACCTCTAGGATTCCAGGTTAAAGGGGAGGGACACTGTCCCACTTGCTACAGAAAACGACTCACAACTTGTTTTTGTGTGTGCACAATTTTGGGTGTCGTCATGTCTCAGGAGCCACACTTAGTTTTGTTTTTGAGACAGGATCTCTCTATGTAGCCCTAGCTCTCCTGGAAATTGCTGTGCAGCCCAGGCTGGCCTCGAACTCAAAGAGATCCATCTGCCTCTGCCTCCCGAGTGCTGGGATTAAAGGCCTGAGCCACTGCTGCCCGGTGATTTCTTCTTTCTCTTTTCTCTTCCTTCCTTCCTTTTTCCAAGACAAGATTTCTCTGTAGCTTTGGAGGCTGTCCTGGAACTAGCTCTGTAGACCAGGCTTGTCCTGAACTCACAGAGATCCGCCTGTCTCTGCCTCCCAAGTGCTGGGATTAAAGGAGTGGACCACTACCGCTGGGCTGATGTCTTGTTTCCTGAGACAGTTTCTGGCTGTCCTACAGCTAGCCTGACTGGTCAGAGCTCCCCGGTAGTCTCCTGTCTGGTTCCCAGAGCCAGTCAGGGTTACAGATGCATGTCACCATGCTCCATTTTTTTATAGGAGCACATGATGACAAGGGTATGTATGCTACCATGCCTAAAACCGTCTGCTCTGGAGGCAATATGTCCTCCCCCAGCTTGACTACAACATGCTCTATTCAACAGGTAGATTCCGAACCCCTTGGCCAGCATCCTGTGCATTTGGACATTCCCAGACAACATGGAGGCTTCCCACTTGTCTGAATGGCTCACTTAAGGGCACCATGAACCGGAAGAGGCACACTGCCTGGAAGTATGGCCCAGCCCCTACTAAGGGGAAACTGAGGTTGTCATCCCAGAACTTGGGAAGTAGAGGCAGGAGGATAAGGTTGTTTAAGGTTATCCTCGGCCACACAGGGAGTGAGAGTACACATAAGACCTTGTCTCAAACAAAAATGGGAAAGGGGACTGAGGCACTAGGTGGCAGAGCTGGGCGTGTGTGTGGGGGCCATGACCCTTGCCACACCCACATGCCCCCTCCCAGCTCTTCCATGCCCAGTGCTAGTGCCTGCATATTAAAGGGCTCAGAGGCACAAACAGCTAACTCCCAACCACAGAGTGCCAGCTCTCACCGGCGTGGGCCCAAGTGACAGGCTGTCCACACTGTCCTCTGGACCTCCCCTAGACAACTAGGTAATGGCAGTATACCCCATAGTCAGGACATGTGCAGGAGTCACCAACCCTACCCCCTCATACAGAAGGAATGTGGCTCTGTTTGGGGCCAGCATGGGCTGCAGAGTAAGACTCTGCCTCAAAAATGAAAGAGGCACAGGGCCAGAGAGAAGGCTCAACGGTTAACACACTGGCTGCTCTTCCAGGGCTCACAACCATCTATAACTCCAATTCCAGGGAATCTGCCTTCTTCTGACCCAAGGGCACTGGGCATAAACATGGTGTACATACATGCATGCTTACACATGAATAATGAAAGCTGGACAAGGTGGCATAGGCCCTGTCTCCCATAACACTCAAAGGCTAGAGGATTAGGAACTCAAGACCAGCCTGGGCTGCATGAGACCATAGCTCAAAAAAACCCAAAAACCTCCAACGAGGGACTTGCCTCCCAACTTGACCACACAAGGTCTGGCTATGGGATGGGACTCCCTACCTGCCTCAGTTTCTCTTTGCCTCAGGATGCTCTCTGACCTAAGTGAGGGGAAACCCTGAGCCCTTTGAACTAAAGAAGAGATGGCCCAGAGGCTTAGGGTGCTCCCATGGGTCCAACAGAGCTGAGCTGCACCCCCAAGCTAGTGTGTTCCAGGCCACTAGGCCGTGACCTGTCAGTTTAACAATAACAAAAAAAACGAGCGGCCCAGGGCCTCTGCCTACTCAGCCAGTGAGGCAAAAATAAGACGGACCTTAAAAATACCAGCAGGGCCTTCCGGAGCCTTGGAGACTGTCCCCAGGACTGCTTTGCCGCAGGCTAGCTGTGGGTGCTGCCTCAGTGCAGACTCACTTGTTTTTGGCAGAATGCTGTGGCCTAGGCACCTTGTGGGGATGAGCAGGGGAATTCAGACCGGAAGTTGCCCTAGGAGCTGTAAGGCACAGGGTGTTTCTGGGGGTGGGGCCAAAATTTGAGAGCTTAAATGTCATACTGGTTCTTGAAGGACAGGATGCCCACTGCACAAAAGGGCGAGTGGAGGGCACTAGGCTGTGGAGATGTCCAGCAAAAGACCAATCTGACCAGCTTGTTACTATGCTCTGTGACTTTTTGTGGACCAGCAACCTCTCTGGGCATTTACACAGCTGGAGAACAAAGACTTCCACAGGGGATATGTCTCCCCAACTGGGACTGACATGTGCTAATGGAGCAGGGTTGTGGAAAGCCTTTTAGGGGGTAGGGGTGTGCCCACAGATCCTCCATCACTGACATAGGAGCCTAAGCGCCTGCTCCACAAGTGGTGGCTTTCCTCTCTGAGGTCCCCGGCATGGGCCAGCACAGCCTGTGACCTCATTCTCACATCTGTAACTTTGATGGTCACATTCATGACTAGCTAGTCAAGGCCATGAGCCCCCACTGCCACACGGGGCTTTTGCAGTGAGTAAACTGGGGCGAGGGGCCGGAGCTCTGACAAGCCCCTACCTCTCTCTGGGCTCAGCTCTCCCATTTGTGAAGTGGTTAAGTTGGCCCATTTCTTATGGGTGTCACCATGCCTGTGTGTCCTCCTACTTTTGTAAACTGAGGGCTCCATTCCCAACTGTCAAGACACTTCTACCCCTTCAGAGGTAGCTTCCAACCTGGGAGCAGGGGACAGGCACTGGGGGGGGGGGGGTGGCTCACCATACTGAAGTCCAGGAGATCACTCAGCTCTTTGTCGGAGCCCACAGGTGCCATTCTCTGAGACTGGTTCATTGTCTGGCCAGGGCAGCAGGAGTGAAAACTGGGGTGGGTTCCCCAGACCTAGAGACAGCACTGTGCAGTGACCCCCCAGAGACAGGAGGAAGAAATGGAGATGTGTGAGTGCAGACAAGCAGGGTTTACAGGCACTGGCCTGGGGTGGATGGGGCCCGGGAGGGAGGAGGCAGGGAACCTGGTTTGGGGGGACCCTTTTAGATCCTTCCCTAGAGCAAATATATGGCTTCAACAATAGAGAGGGAACACATATCAACTCTCCATTCCCAGAGGACCACTAAAGCATCAAGTTGTACATTTCAAACTGGTGTTGGGGGTAGCTAGGAACACTCCTATCACCTCCAACCCCAAGCGGCCTGTCAATGGGCCCTGTCTAGGAGGGGAGTGATGGCCCAGGATCTGCCTCTTCCAAATAAATTTGGTAAAACCATCCCATTCAGCACCTGTCACAGAACACTCAAAATCCTGGTCACCCCCCCAAAATCAAAACACAAAACAAAATCCTAGTTTCAAACCTTCACTGGTGGAAAGGATGCTTTGCCTGGGCCCCTCAAATTGTCCCTTTCACCCCCAAAACCAAACCTCATTCAGAAAAGTTAAAAAAAAACAAAACAAAACAAAAGCAAGCAGCCTGTCTTATTGTCAGGATGTATCCGGGAATTATTTGGATTGAGGTTTGAAAACATCCTTTTACCAACATCACCCTGGGGGGGGGGGGGTGTCCTAAGACCTGGGATTCCCCTTCAGGTCCCAGGGGCTCTGCTCCACCAGCGGGGGAGGGGACCCACCTGCCAGGCTGCATCCCAGCCACCCCAGGGAAGAGAGAAGCTTAGCTACCCACCACACATTCAAAAAAAAAAAAAAAAAAAAAAAAAAAAAAATTAACTTTTTTCCAGGGTTCCCCAGCAAGGAGAAACAGTTGGAGAGACCTGAGAAACCCCAGGGATGGGAAGGAGGTTCAGGGGTTGAAGGAGGACTCCAGCCCAGAAGCTCTAAGACCCCAACTCTTTTGTTCACCACCTCAGACAAGGGTGTGAAAGAGTACCTAGAGCACCCCTCCCCCGCTGTTTCTTTTCTTTTCCTTTCCGGTTTTTTTTTTAATCCTTTTTGGGGGACTGTGAAACTGACTTTTTTTTCTTCTAAGTTGTACAGTTGTACGAAACCACACTTTTGTGTGTATGGTACTTGAAACCGATTTTTCTAGGTAACCCCAGGGGGAGAGGTGAAGCACTGCTTGATCGGGGTGACACAAACACTTTGCGGATGGGAGGAGGGGGACCTGAGACTTCTGGGATTGTTGGGAAGGAAGCAGAATTGGGGGCAACCCTCTTTTCCCTCCCTCGCCCACTCCAGCAGCGAGTGTGGGAGGGAAGAGAGGCTGGAAGCTCTCTGAGGCTCGAAGGCAGGCCACCACGGCGCCCCAAACCCAGGGCTGTGCCGCGCCCCACATTAACACAGAGCAGATGTTACCATCTTGGGGGTCCCCATGTCTCCCCTTCTCTAAACCCAGGAGTCCCTTTCTTGTAGCAGACAAAAGGACCTGTTCTTTTTTCCTTCAAACTCTAGTTTGAATTAAGGGGCCCATTCCTGAGTGTGGGGGATGTGTCTCCCAATATCTCCCAGGAGTTGGGGAACCCCTAGCTAACAAACTGAAGAGATTGTCCCCACTCTCCCTTCCAAGCTACAACTCGGATGGAGGGTTGGGAGGCCTCCCAGGCTGAGGGTAGGTGGGAAAGGGATACCTCCCTCAAAATCCGCACGAGTTAGGGAACCCTAGTTAGTGGAGTGCAGGGATAACCCTCACCCCTCCGAACTCCAGCTAGCATCAAGGAGAAACCTCCTCAAACGAAGGGAAGGAGGTCGGCGGTATGGGAACACCTCCTCTAAGATACCCACGAGTTGGGGCAACCCTAGCTGATGGAATGAGGAGATGGTCCTCTCCCCTCCAAACTCCAGTTCCGATACCTGAGGATGGGGGTTGAAGGTAGATAGTAAGGAAACACCTCCCCCAAGGTCCCATGAGTTAGAGAACCCGTATCTGATGAAGTTGGGTGACCGTCCAAAGAGAACCGCCACAAAAGAGGCCTGGGCAAAGTTTGCTTCCAAGTGCGCGCGTCCTCCACGTCGCCCCCCTCTCCAAGCGCGCAAAGTTGAAGGCAGAGAACAATGCGCCGCCGGGCCCGGGGCCCTGTGTAAGGGGGACGCGTGCAACCCTCCCCCGGGGGCTCGCCCTATCCCTAGCCTCCCCGCGGACCCGAGAGAGACCCGGAGGCAACTTTTTTTTTCCATGCACTAAGCAGAGAAAGGGGGGGGTCCCCACCGTGCGCGCGTCCCCGGGCGCCCCACGCGCGCGCCCGGGCCCCTCCGCGTGCGCTCACCTGCTGGGCGGGGGCATGCACCGGGTCCACCGGGGCTCCCTGCTGCCCACCGCCCTCGGGGACCCCGGGGACAAAAGGGTGGCGGGCGCGTCCCCGAGGGTCGCGCGTGGGCGGCGGGAGCGCGCAGGGCTCGGGGGCGCGCGTCCTTCCTCCTCCTCCCCACTCGCGTTCGCGTCGCCTGGCCCCTCTCGAGCTTCTCGCAGAACAGGCCCCACGGGAAGGGACCGTACCAGAGGCGGCGGCGCGCGGCGGTGGACCGCGGTGGCCCGCTACGCCCGCAGCCGCCGGCGCTGCCTCATCTTCCTGCGGCGGGAGACATGTTCCGCCCCCCCACCCCGCCCCGTGCCGCCCGCGAAAGCCACGCCCGCGGCAAGCCACGCCCCCAGCATCAGAAAGCCACCTCCCCTAATCGCCGCAGCCGCACCCCGACCGGATGCACTCCACGGATCCCTCCACCACCTCTTGAGGCAATACTAACATACACCACCTCACAACAGTCCACTGCCAAAACACCCACAAAGATTACCATGACACCAAGAATCAACCAGTATCTGATATTAAAATGCTTCCGGCGGAGACATTATCTATCAACCTCAGGGACTATGTTCCTACGCGGTGGAATACATGCATTGAGCAAAGCGTCCGTGACGCAAACGGGAAGGACCATGAGATTGAAAGATAAGGACCAGATAGCCAATGTGAAAGCGGGAAGCTTAGATTGACAGCAACTTTAACCATTGAAAGTGAAGCACAGTCTGCATTCCCGCCCCCACAGCAGAGGCGGGATTCTCAGAGCGAGAGGCCGCGAGAAGCTCTCTCAACGGGAAGGCGGTGGAAGGGCGGAGGTTGGAGTTTTATTTTCTGGTTGTTATGCCCGCCGGCGCCGCCTCGTCGTGTGGGTTCTATTTGAGTTTGTAGGGTCCTCCCTGGGTCTTAGGTGTTGCGAGCGGGTATATCAGAGTCGGGAGGGTTATCAGATCCTTGATGAGAGGCTAGGAAACTATGGGTCATTCTGTCTCGTGCTAAGGGACCCCCACGTGGTTCAACTTTTCCTTCTCTTGAAAATAGATGCTCCGGGATCGGGATAATAAAAAAAATGCCTGGCGTGGTGGCGCACGCATTTAAATCCCAGCGCTCAGGAGGCAGAGGTAGTCAGATCTCTGAGGTCAAGGCCAGCCTCGAAGAACAAAAACATTTTTAAGATGAAAATACAATTTAAAAAAGAGCGGGGCATTGGTGGTGCACACCTTTAGTCCCAGCAGGAGGCAGAGGCAGGTGGATCTCTGTGAGTTCAAGACTAGCCTGATCTACAGAGCTAGTTCCAGGACAGGCTCCAAAGCGATACAGAGATGTCTCGAAAATACCAAAAAAAAAAAATAATAATAAAATAAAAGAACGAGGCTAGATTTGGTGGTGCACGCCTTTAATCTCAGCTCTGGGGAGGGGAGGCAGAGGGAGGCGGGTCTGAGTTTGAAGTCTGCTACCTGTGTGTTTATAGCAGAGTTTCAGGCCTGAGGAAACACTTTTCCATTTCTCCCCGGGGGTTCCCTCCTAGCCTTGCTCTGGCATGTCCTGTGTCAGCACAGCTGGGTCTTCAAGGCTCACTGGGGCTCCCAGCCTGGTGAAACTAGGAAGACAGAAGAGGTGTCCCACGGGAAATTCAGCTCCAGTCCGATGTCAAGGACTTCCCCCAGCATAATACAGGTTGGGGACTAGTGTGAATCAGAACTCTAGGTGCCAATTCTGGCAGGAGTAGAGTTGAGAAAGGATCTCATGTAGCCCAGGCTGGGCCCTGACTTTCTTTGTAGCCAAGGAGGCCACCCACACACACCCACTTAGTGCTACAATTATACGGTGCTGGAATAAAACTTAGAGCTTCATATATCCTAATGGAGTTCTTTACTAAGTCAGCCCTAGTTCCAATCCTTTATCCCCTCCCCCACATGTCTCAGAACCCTTAGACTGTTTCTTAGTACTTGTTGGGACTCAGTTTACCCATGAGGAAAATGGATGAGTATAATCATGGCCTCACAGGTGTCACTCCACAGCCCTGCCTGGTCCCTGTATGTCCCTGCTGAGGGACTTGGGTCTCTGGATTGGATCTGTCCTTGTAGCCCTAAGCCCTTGCTGTGGCTTGACCCTGATTCTATGAATTCGAATGACAACCCACTTGGGGGTGCAGCATGATTTGCCCCTGGCATTGACTGGTGCCCTGGGGGTTGCAATGCCTCTAGTCTTGTCATCCAAAGCAAGAAGGCTCAACAGAGACTCCCTTCTTCATCTGCCCCAAATGTACTCCTTCCAACCACAAGTGCCATGTCCTCCCCAGAGAGTGGGTCCATTGTACGTGGAAAGTGACTGAGGTTCTGAGTCCCCAATGCACCCTGGGGCCACACACCTGTAGGAAAGCTCTACAGGCGCCCACAAGCCACCATTGTCTTTCCCCAGGAGGCCCATCTTGGGGCTGAGTCACCCGGTGGAACAGCCCATGGTAGCAAGCCCTCACTGGCTGTCACCTCTGCCCAGCCCTGAGGTTTGGGTGTGCCCTGGCGTGAGTACAAGCTGCCAGGGGCTGGAGCCAGGGCCCCTGTAGGCAGCCTGTGCACAGCCCGCCCGCCCCCACACTCCTGACTGTGCCCTTTGTTCTGCTGTGGATGCTGAGGAGGTCTGTTCACCTGCCAGGGAACCTGTGTGCCCAAGCTGGAGCCTGAAGTAATTTTTGCAGGAGTATGGGGCACCAAGCACAGATCCGCCAGAGAGGACGGAAAGCCGGGCTTCTGTGCAGGCCCTTCACCTCAGCTACTAGGGAGACTGAGGAAGGAGCAAGTCCAAGCACACCCTGCAAAGCTTGTGGGTAATGCTTTTCTGAAAAGCCAGGAAGAGGTTGGGGGTGTTGCTCAGGGGTAGAGCTAACTAGAGCCCTCCACTGACGGGCTGGGGACTTGTGTGAGCTGAGGACCTGGGCTCCATCCCCATATGTGGGTGCTGACCAACAGACAAGGCCCTGACATTTGGCTGCAAACTCCAGCAGTTGGTTCTGAGTGTGGGAGATGAAGGAAGGAAGGCGAGCAGGGGTTTGCGGCCCTGAGGTGGAGCCAGGGCTCAGCCAGGAGGCCTACCTGGGTAAGAAGTAGATAAACGGGAGGAGTAGCCATTGTTACAGCAGGCCCCTAACACTGGACCAGCCTTGCACCAAACTTTCAGCTTTCCCTTTTCTTTTCCTTTTGTTTTAGAAGATTCTCATGTAGCCCAGGCTGTCCTTGAATTCACTAAATAGCCAAGGGTATTTTTGAACTCCTGGTCTTACCATCTCCACCTCCTGAGTGTTAAGATGACAGGTGTGCATCACCACGTATGACTTAGTGATGTTGGGAATGGGACCCAGAACTTGTGTGTATTGTGTGCATCCCAGCTGAATCCACAGAATACAGCGCCAGCCCTGAGCCCCAGACTTCTTTAGAAAATTGTGTGTGCTCTAGTGTGTGTATGTGCATAGGCCACCTGTGTGAAGGAGTCCTCAGAGGTCAGAAGAGGGCATCAGATCTCCCAGAACTGCAGTTATAGATGGTTGTAAGCCTCCACATGGATGCTGGGAATTGAACCAAGGTCCTCTGCAAAAGCTATGCGTGCTTTTACCTGCTGAGCCATCTCTGCAGCCCTGACCTCTTATCCAGCCCCTGACCTCAGTGTGAACCCAACCCTAATACAGAGGCCTTCAGTTTGAACTTGAGCCCAGCTAAGAGGACCCCACCATGGTCCCCGAGTCCCTCCTGATGCATCTCAGGATGGTGTCACCTGCCTAGGAAGACAACAACAACCTAGCTCCTGGCCAGGCACCTCAGGCCCTGACTCAGGTCCCCTGGGGCCTGCTCTGCCACATTCCAGGACAACATGTCCAAATGCTGGGCGCCTCCCCATCAGCCCCCACGGGCACCATCCGGCCTAGTGACCCCAGGGGGAGGCACAGTAGGGGACAAGGAGCCCAGCCTAGTTCCTACCCACACACTAGCCTGCAGGGCATCACAGATGACCTCTGCCTGCAGTGGCAAGGGTGACGCTTTGGCCATCTACACTAGCAGGGTACCCACCTTCTTCCCAGGATTTTCCCTGAGGGACTGAGCAAACCATGCACTATTCATATGAGGAAACTGAGGCTCACAGTCAGTGGTCCCTTGCTTGAGGGTAAGCTTGGCTCTTAGGTCTTGGCTCACCCACCTACACAGAAGAGGGGAAGGTATCTGGGCTATACCAGCCCTGAGGGACAAAGGGCAAAAGGTCAGAAGTCACTGATGGCCACTTCCTTATGCTGAGGACTTGTGGGGGTTACTCAGAAGAAGCTGGGGACACAAAGGACCTGATGTCAGTGGAACCTGGCTGTGGGAAGACATCAAGGGTTAACAATGACAGACAAGAGCCCCATTTGATAGACTCCACAGGCAGCAATGAGGAAGTCCTGAGACCACGAGGGGTAAATGGGACACAGACATCCCCAAATCTGTATGTGAGAGCTGAACTCAAGGTGAAAACTCAGGGCCTGGGAACCGCTGGTGACAGCAGATCGTCACCAATTGACGAGCAACAGACCAACTAACCGATGTTCCCTTTCAGTATAGGTCACCCTGCTGGGAGCTGGCCTCCCAGACTCCCTCACTGCCTCAGTCTGGTTCAACTCTGAGTGTCCATGTGCCCTTAATGTCCTTTTCATCCAAGCCCTGGGGCCCCTCCCAACTGGCAGATTGAGGCCTTTTCCTAGGCTATGCCCCAACTAAGTGGGTTATCTTCCCTCTTGTATAGAAGCCTCACATCTCAATATTAATCTTCTGTGGTTGCTGGCAGATTAGCTCCCCCACCCCAACACTTCCAAAGGCAGGGACTCCCTGTCTTGCCATTGCAATGTGTATGGCCATCATGCATAATCCAAGCTCTAAGATTCCAGGGAGGAAGCTGGCAAGATGGATGGCTCAGCTGGTAATGGAGCTACCAAGGCTGATGACCTGAGTTTAATCCCAGGATCCACACACACGCACACACATACACAGACACACACACATATGCACACATACACACACACACACACACACACACACACACACATTCACTGCTAGAATTGTCTGCTTTAAGATGAGTTTCTTGTATTCTTGGGGTCCCTG